CGAGACAACGAATTACTTTTTCTTTGCTTTACAATTGAATGGACTGACTAAAAGATCGCTTTCTCAACCGAAATTTCGACTTAATGAAATTCGAGTCATACGAACTTTCGAAATTTTGAGACAACGAGTTTACACAAGTTTAGATATAAATACTGATTTTGTAGATGTATTGAAATTGTGTTAATCACTTTAATAGTATGTGTTGAATGAAATCAATGTCAACAGCAACAGTCTTTTTATAGACAGTATTAAAAGCAACAAAACATCAACTCAATATATCCTACATACAACAAATCATAATGTATACGAACCATCTAAGCAACATACCTTTCTATATTATAAACAAATCACAATAACAACAGACGCTTTCAATCTATTTATCACTTAAATAGCAGATGTTATTAATCAGTCACCTTAGCAAAAATTATCAATCACCTTAGCAGAAAATAGAATAAATCAATCACCTTTTCAACCGTTGTTATACAGAATATTTTTCACTTTAACAATAGATGTTACTAATCAGTCACCATAGCAACCGATGATATCAATCAGTCACCTTAGTAACAGATAGTATGAAACAGTTACCTTTGCAAGAAATATTACATATCTGTCACCTTAGCAGAGATGATATAAATAAATCATTGTTACAAAAGATGTTACAAATCTGTCAACTAGACAGCAGATGGTATCAATCAGTCACCTTAGCAGCAGATGTTATAATCAGTCACCTTAGCAAACAAATCTTACAAATAAGTCACCTTAGTAACAGATATTATGAATTAATTAACTTAGCAACAAATATTAGAATAAGTCACCTTAGCAACAGACGTAAAATAATTGCCTTAGCAACAGATGATATCAATCAATAACCTAAGCAACAGATGTTATCAATAAATCATTTTTATAACAGAGGTTACAAATCTGTCAACTAGACAGTAGATGGTATAAATCAATCATCTTAGCAACAGATGTTGTAAATCAGTCACCTTAGAAACAGATTATATAAATTAATCACCGTAATAACAGATGTTATGAATTAATTCATTAATTCAGATGTAAACTGAAAAAAATCAGTTTCAGATAGGAAATTGTTTTCATTCACGTCACATAAGCAACAGTTTTAAAAAATATTACCATAGCATCACATGCAAATCAACTTACTTAGTATATATAACACAGCAAATGTTGTATTCCTACATATGTTATGAAATCACTATAACTTGTCTTTCTCTTGTTGTAAAACTCATATATTCACACTTGTATTAGCAATGTTGATTTACGTTTCCTACCACAGACAAATTCGTGATTTTTTTCTGAACAATTATAATTATTAGTATTTGTTTTAGACAGTTTTAAGCCATTTCTCCAACTTTTATTGTAGAAGATTTTCAATCCGGATAATTGCCAATGTACCTGGCTTGGTATGTATAATATACAGATTTGTGGGATACATAAATATGCTTGAAAGTTAATACAAATTAGTGGCAAGCCATCCGTGGAACATTAAAACTGCTCTTAATAATCAGTGGACTGCAGATTGTTTTGTAGTAGACGAAACGACTGTTACACCGTAATATACCGCTACTTTCACCTCGTCTTAGATGACAGGCACACGGATAACATTTCCAGGGATTTCCATGGAGGTTGTGTAGATATGGATACCTCTACCACTCTCGGTTTGATTTGTATCTTTCTGAGCACAGGTAATTTCGAATTATTTTTCTTTTAATGTGAACTCCTACATTTTCACTTTTTATTTATCTATTTTTTATTTATTATTATCAACATTATTTTTAATAATTAATAAAGAAAAAAGTATATATAACTGTATATCATTGGAGTACTGCCACGCAAGATATAGCGGTCGGGATTAAACATTGTAATATAAATGTTAAAGATACTGTGCGCCAAGATTTATGCATAAAGCAGTTTCACACGAAGAAAAAAAACGTAAAACAACAGAAAAATTTAAATATATATCAAAATAATGCCTATGTGAGATTCGAAACCTATCCAATCTAGTTTTTAGTTCGCAATTTTTATCTTATTATGTCTTCATTGGCGATTACCTAGTCTTGTCATGGATTCATGATATTTATGACAATATACAAACACGTGATCACACACACAATACAGACCAGGAGAGAGCAAACTATTGGCTCAATTGATCTCTTACAATGTAAGCAGCTTTGATATTATGTATTATTGTATCATTTAACTTGTTTCCTGGATAACACTTGTATCCTTTGTATTCTTTTGGGATAAAATATGGACAGAAATTATTGACAGGTCAACTAAATTCTTTTCAAAATACAAACACTCAATCACTTGGTCAGTCCGCTACAAAACAGTTTCATATCATTTTTCAAATGTTCAAGATTTTCATCGTAGTACTAATTCCTTCTCTACCTACACTTAATCAAAGTTATAAGTATACATCTTGATTTTAACATCTTAACAGAAACGATGTATATTAAATTCCTAAGTTTAATAAAATGTAGCAGTTTTGTTAAATGTTGGAGATGTGTGTGGTCACGAATGATCATTATCATTTAACATTTTACCTCAAAATATAATTGTTTGCCGTCGCTTTTTGGCGGACACAACATTTTTTTTCTATTTCAACTCACACACTCATCGAGAAAAGTCACCAAATTTGTAAAGTGGAAAATTACATATGTATGTTTCCATGGCAACAGTAGTAAGATGCCTTAATGCTTGATAACTATGCAATACCTAAAGGTTATGCTGTCGCGTGACGCCAACTGGCCACAACATGTCTTTATCAAGTAAAATCGCCATGTCAGGCCTCCGCCGAACATGATTTGCTTTCAACAGTAAGTTTACACTTGCCTTGTTCAGGCTGGACCACTGTGAAGAGGGTTAATAAACGGAGATAAGGGGAAAAAACTTTGATTTTCTAGATCTAACTAAACTAAACCAGTTAAACTGTGATAACCTGAACTATATAGAAGGAGTAGATCTTTATTAGCCTAGCCCAGTCAACAGCAGATTGGCGACATACTTCACATTGTTGGTACAACACATTATAAACAGAAATGATAAAAATGTTCGTTCTCTCCATAACTTATTTTAACCAGTACTTAAAGATTCTGATAAAATTCTGTATTTCTATAACAAACAGATCAGATCTCCATATGTGAATATATTATTGTTTACAAGACTTTAAATGTGACCATTTTTTAAGAAATGCTGCGTGAAAATTCCTTCACCACACTAGCATAACATTGTGGTATTTTAGAAACAAATTTGTATATTTGCTTTAATTCGGAAAATCACGTTTTGAAGGATACTGGGAATGTTGCAGCGGCTAAGCAGTCTTGACAAAAGACGTTTGAGATTCATTTTCTCTTTTAAAACTGATGCTAGCTATATTGCTTCTCAAGTTTTCATACTCTACATATATATCTGAATTTGTTACCATGGTTATCACACTCATTTAGTGCATCTTTTCCATAAAAAACACATTCAAGGAGTGGTGCCAATTTTGGTTATGCCATGCCGCCCATTCAGTGACAAGCATTTTTTTTGTTCGGCTACAAGCCTATTTCGTTTGCTGGTAAAACATGCTATTTAACGGTACATGATGGAGAGGGGTGAAAGATAAAGATGTTTGAGTCATTCTGGTAGTTTGTTTATATATATATACATATATTCCTGTTAAATACCAATAAGATTTAAAGGAAGTTAACATAAGCAGAAAATTGGGTCACAGTCACACGATTCCATGACTGGTTTGCTTTTACATCAAATAGATTAAAGCACCCTAACACCTTTCTTAAATTTCTTTAATTTATTTGATGATTGAAACCGCAAGAAAATAAGAAAAAGAAGGGAAAACAATTGTTAAAACCATTAAACTGTCTCTAATGTTTCGGTCAGGTAATTCAAAATTAATAGAGAGAAATTTCTAAATCGATATCGGGAAATGCAGTGGTTCTTTAATTTAAAAAGAATGACATAATTCTCATATATCTGATAGTTTAAAAACAAATCAAACCAATGAGTATATTCTGAGCATTGTTTTTACCTTAATGAATCTAAGCGTGGCATGTAGGTTAATAAATTAGTAAATGGAAAAGCATCGTACGGAGGATCCTCTGTGTGGAATTAGGATTCGTTTTGAATAACGACCGACTCAGTAGTTCAATGGTATAGGGATCAAATTTATTATCAGCACAAAGAAATCCCTAAAAAGACAAAAACACGGGTATACAATACGAGCACATCAAACTACTTTTACAAAACGTTATCGAACGCTCTACACAATTACGTTACAATACATAATGCGGACCACTGGACATCTGAAGTAAGAGTTAATATACGTGAATGTGTAAAATACGAAAGACTGAACTTGTAAAGCAATAGTAATAACTAATGAGTAATAATAATTTACAAATAGTTCACGGCAACTTACCCTGCATGTGGTGCTGGAGATGTATACTTGTATTTCAAATAACGTCCAACCCCTTTGAAATCTGCTGCCCAAGTGTAAAGAAAGACAGAAAAGCGGGAAAGGACAGGAAGATAGACAACGGGCATGTGTCCGGAGTGGTCAGTCCGGTCAACAAAAGAATACAACACATCACATAACACCACACACAATTACACACATTACATAACCATACGCAATATGCCTAGCACGGGCCGCAATCCAAAAAAATATCAACCGAAAGTGACGGTCACGTGATCTAGCGACACGAGGCGATAATGCTAAATAACAATTGTTACAACTGCCATGGACAGTATTAAACCAAAGAAACTATTACCGTTTCAAATATTAAATCATTTAATCCAGGGGCCACATCTGTACAGGATTTAGATAGGATCGTTCACTTGTCTTTGATCCAACCCTTCATTATACTGATAAATCAGATGTCTTGTGACTAATATTGTTACAACTTAACGAATCCAGAAATATATTGTCATTAAGATAAGAAAAATAAATATTTCGAATTAAGCATTTTATTTTTTTACAGTATATGCATTAGAATCACCATTCTTCCTTAGCAACAGCACAGGCAATTGGTCAGAAGGCGAATCCTATTGTCTGGAACACAATGGCCGATTTGTGACCATAGATACCCAAGGAAAATATGACCGTATTTTGGATTTGGACAACAATGATATGTAAGTAAGCATACTTTATAGACCATTGTTTCAATGTTGATGAGCTCAGATATACTTCTTAGACTATAAGTTTCATTCTGCATTTGTGAGTCATAAAACAAATTAATATAACACACGTAGAAAGCATCTACCTGCCTCAGCTTGTAGATAGTAAATTTATTCATTTTCGCGGTGGATTTATTTATGTTAATTTCGTGGATACACCTGTTAGACGAATTCATATTTCCACAAATAAGAAGATTGATTGAACTAAATGTTTTTAAAAAGTAATTGTCCATAATAATTATAGATGAAACAAATACTTGAACATTTTTTATTGTTTGATGGAAATTAGAGGTTATACCTGTTGTCATATCACGATTTGGATTATCGTTATATACTGGCTGTCTGCACCTATTTGAGATAATATAATGAGGCATAATTTTAACATGAGTCGAATTCGAGTAATAAAACATCCAATTCGCTATCTCATTTGATATTTTTGTATATTTTATATACATTTAAGACTAGCAAGAAAAGATCAGCAATTTTATTATCATTATTTCATAATTTTAATTCCAAATCAATTAAACGAGGGAATGGTGTATGAAAAAAGGAATTTTAACATTGAGCATCTGGAAAATGTGGAATAGTTAGTTAGTTAGTTAGTTAGTTAGTCAGTCAGTCAGTCATCTAGTTAGTTCGTTAGTTAGTTAGTATTTTAGTTAGTTAGTTCGTTAGTTAGTTAGTTAATTAGTTAGTAAGTTAGTTACAGGTTTTCCATCTTCGCGACTCCTCCCGTTTCCGGGCACTGTCTCATCGACGAATTTCATTTACATCACCCTCAGATGAGTGTAGCTGTCTGTAGCGGTGTGTGTTTGATTATGCTAGTTTTTTAAGACGGCTCCGGATCCTGATAATGTCGTATCCTAACTCTAGCAGTCTGAAACATGTCCAGAATTCGAAAGGAGAGACTATGAGACTCTAAAGATTCGGTTTAGGTAAGGATATTTTTAAGTCCTTCAGGTGCCTCAAAAATGTGTGGACAGTTCACATACGAGCTATATGTAGAAAGAGAATATTACAATGACATTCCCTGAAGGTTCAGCGTCTTCGGCTTCATCAACGACACCTGACACCCAAGTAATGTTATAATCGCAAAAGAGAATAATACTACAATATTAAGACACGCAGATAAAGCCCTGTCCGTATATTGCTCCATTCAGAACTTTTTCCTATATTCTTTGCTTTCAGTAAAATAATCATGAATTAACTCTTGCTCGCTGCTGACTGGTTCCAAATCGTTGATGACAAAAGTTCAGAAATGTATTACCGAGAGGAGGACTTCGATGAAAACCAGTTAAGAAAATAAATGAATTCGGTCTGCCTTCACTCCCAACCCCAGTCCCTAATACTGCGGTAACCTAATAAGCCATACTTTGAGTGCCTAATTAAGTTGGCCACATAATTACCACGGTTGTTTGGAGTGTGTCTTAACCACTTCCAAATGAATAGAGAATATGTAATTGTATATTCTGTAATAACTATATTTCACAAGTGTGTCTAATATTTTAGTATATTTTCCGAATGCGCAGCACGAGTGGAAAATACAATAATATTAGAGAGTGAAATATATTTGTCATTATTTAAGACATTTATAAATATTCTATTTTCTATTATTTTCAGAGCACCAAAGCCAAATATCTTGCATATTACGTACAGATATAGAAGAACGAAGCTAGTTTTGCTACTCACTCATTATAACTTCGCAGTACGCGATAAAAGAATAGCCAAGGCTTATTTCTTTAATCATTATATGTAAGATATATCAACACAAAAATATATTTCAATGTAAAACATTCAGAGAGAGTTCAACCTTTGTCAAGTTATTACGCGGCTAAAATATAGCGGCAACCTAGCTAGCTGTCGTTGTCACTGACATGAACCCTTTTAAAATATCAAAATCCGCTTTCATGACTTTCGGTTTGGGATTGGGTTTGACCCCTGATCAGACCATTAGAGTTGCATTGTTTGCTGACCTCCATAGAAATGAAGGACGTGTTACAAGTAAACAATCCCTTCAGGTTTCCGGTTGTGTGTGTATGGTTTTTTTTTATATATATTTTTGTTTTAACCAGACCTTATATTTTGTCAATTTTATGAAATGATTTGTGTTCTCTTTTTTCTTTGGTGTATGTCTACAAAAGTGTTATATTTAGTGAAAGACAATGCTTTTATTAACGTGATATTTCTCTATATTTCAAAGGCAAACAATGTAATAAATGTGGTTATCTATGAACTCATTACTATATTTCAGATTATCAACGGAAGTTTTCATCGGCCTGTCAACCACGTCAACCAATTGTACTGACTACATCTGGAGCAGTGGCAAACCATTGGTGTGGAGTAAATGGAAGAGGTCAAAGGTAAATCCGGAACCCAATCGGTGCACAACTAACCAGTGTATCAGACTTGTCTCTGGAACCTTCAGAACGACGGAATGCAAACATACATATAAAGCCCTATGCGAATATGGTACGTTTACGAAAGTTTACTATCATTTCAACCTCCATCGAACGACAAAAAGATATAGATCTTATAACAGAATCGTAATTCTAACTCATAAGATAATAGACAAATAAACGCAAAGTTCTGGATCATTACGTTAATTTTCAAAAGAATTATCAAAAGCAATCATATGGGTGTATGAATCCGAGAGATATTCCACTCAAGGGCCATAAAATATGGTGACGTAAGGCTTTGCTGAGGGTTTTACCACATTTTGTGATCCCAAAGATGGAATATCCCTCTCTTACATAATGAAATATATTTTACTCTTATATCAACACCAAACGTTTGGATAAAAACGACTGCTGGCCCTCCATGTTCGTAATCATTCACTGATAGGAAAATAACTTGTGTGTGACTATATTGTATAGAGTAAGTAAACATACGCTAAAAAAATTGTTACATAGTGTACTTCATATGATCTCTACCAGGAAAATAAATTGTTTTCACTTCACAATATAGTTGATATATTTGATCGTCAATATCTCATTTTCTATTATTTTAAGTATATCGATGTATCTTTTGACTGTTTATCAATTTTTCAAGACACTGTGACGCTAACGCGACGGCAACACAGTCAAAAGAATTTCATTCTCAAGTTCAAAACTTGACGTAACACAAGATCTCCATCCCAAATCGCTCTCGATCACCATTATGACACGACTTTAGGTGCTGGAACATTTGTGATGATATTCGATGAGAGTTTCAAACCGTTTCTGTGACACAGGATTGTAGGTGTTAACTTGGTTATCTTATTATGATGACGAAGGTAAACACGTTGTGATATCGGATGAAAAGTTGAACTTGACGAGGAGGAGACAGAGGATAGTGCAGGGTTAACAGAACCAAATCAGAGTTTTTAGTGTTTGACAACATATTAAAAATCATACACCTTTTTCTTTTATGCAATGTCCTATTGTAGCACTTTAATTGTGTTTTATGGTCCGTAACCTACACCTGCAGGGTGTCGGGTACATCAAGTTCAGTCACTTTTTCGAACATTTTATTGATCAATCATTCATAACCAGGTAGTTTCACTTTTTTACCATCACTCCCATCATATTGGCCAATAAATAGCTTGAATTCTATTGAGATTTCCTAACCATTTCGGCTTTTGCAACTGCACCAAACTGGTTAGCTCATCAAATCCTTAATGTTGACAGAGTACTGTGACTTTGTTGATAGGACGTTAGCACACAACAACTGACAGATCACTGTAACAGATCAATGGGAAGAAAGAGACGATGCTTTAAGAGTAATCTCCCCTGAACTCAGATTATTCCATGGAAGGTAGAATTGTTTCACATAGTAATCTGATATGGGCAAACTTTAACTTAACGGGATGTGGATACACATAAAACCTTATTATACACCTGTATAAGTAAGTTACCGAGTCAATTACATTCAACAGTGACAACTAAACAAAAAATTAGGTATTATTCAACTATGTTTTAGAAGAATTTGAGATATCATTTCTTGTGTAAATACCTGTGTAAATACTACAAACTATTTTCTTTACCATATCTGTAATGAACTTAGTATTAACTTCGTGATTTTAGGCAATTTTTCGCACATATTCTTTGAATCCACGTTCATACACTTTCACGCGTGTTCCAGTACTGTAAAAACCACATACTAATACATGTTTGTATTCTTTCAATTTCTCCATCATAAAAAGAAATAGATCAATTTCATGATTCATGTTTTATTATTTTGTTTTAGTTTTAAATAGTGTGCAAGAAAATCCTGAACTGCATGTATCACTTATTTCCACATGTATCATATTCATTGTTTTGTTACAGTATTGGATTATATTAGTTCCAAAAGATAATCATTATTATGTACATTTTCAGTTGTGAAAACACCTTCGTCATCAACAACCATGGCAACCACTCAAATCATCAAAACGACAACCTTGAAAATGGCAGCTACCGAAACGTCAATTACATTTTCACCATTCTCCTTCTCATCGCTACCGTCGACCCTTGAAACTACATCACCAATAACGAAGACACCTGTGGACATGGAGACATCACTGATAACAACGGTTGCTAAGGAAACATCAACAAACCCGATATCAGCGTCACTTTTGTATTCGTCAACGACAAAATCAACAATAGGAACGGCTACAGCAATGGAACTTACGACATTCTCATCCACCTCTGCAACCAGCATTGTCAACGTGACCTGCATAATCAGAAAAACAAATGTAACCAAACTCAGTCATGGCGAACTCCTCGAAATCATCACTCAGCTGAAGGCGGAGCTCTCGGTCAGTAAGAATAACACATCCACCTATCGGCGTAAACGAATCAGCGTATATGAATCGAGACCATCTAGCATGATCATGGGAGGCGTGGCCTGTACAATCATGTCTGTATTGATCTGTGGGATTGTCGTACCGGACATTATCACACTGTTGGTATTTCTATTCAAATGTAGAATCAAGAAAAACGTCGTTAATCCTTAGTTTCCGAAAAGAACATTGAAAGAAATAACTTCATAACGTATTTTATTATTGCATAAATGGTTTGCCATATGCAGTGTTCGACCGCAGATCAACATTAAGAACCTAAAATTCAGTCTTTGAAAAGATCAAAGTACATTTGAATAGTCTAATTAAAACATAATGTTAGGATGTATTCTTCTGTGATCCTCAAAAGACTAACGGAATAACGAAAAAAGACGAAAATATGATATATGAAATAAGAAAGATTTACAAGGAGATTTATGACAAAAACACAAGAAGAATAAGGTGTTCCGGAAGAGTACACATTAAGTACTTCATCGAAGGCATCCGGCGTTACAACAGTCCTGAACTCCTTACATTGTTGTGCATTTTTATGAGGGCTCGGTGTTTCTTTTTTAAACCATTTGCAACATAAATAACAAAAATATATATTTTGGAAAGGATATTGAACATCTAGACCATCATGGTTCAAAACTGAGATGGTACGTAATATTCTTGTGATGGTTTTTTGGCAATAGCAGTTGTTTATCATTGCTTGGTGTCAGATATTGTCTAGCTGATTAGTAATTTACAGTGGTATCCAATTGTTATCATTTGAATACATTATTGGTCAATGAAGTAGACTCATGCACGTGTTGTAGTGTGCAGTACACAAAGTATAATATTTATATGTCCTGTTGAATGTTTTTGTGATTTTCCAACCGATTTGCTTCGATGTCGTGCATGTTTTTGAATAGTTAGTGATCTTTGTGTTGTGATTCATGTCAAAAACTGATATCTGTCCTTGAGATGTACATTTTGAGAAACATTTATAGTAATTATCAAGTGTTGCAATCATATAATAGAATGTCTTATATAATTGAGAAACCATATTACGATTATACGTTGTCACCATCAAACTTGCCATTTAGTATCAAAATCCTAATATGTAATATTAACGAAGTCATTTTTCGCCTTGGAAAAGTAGGAACTTCTGATATGTAATGTTCTTATTTTGCTCAGTTCAAACGATGACTTGTTAAAAATTCCGAAAGTTGGACACTAGTGTATTTTTAAATGATATCGATTTCTGAGATGTTAATTTTCGGTAGAACTCGTGATGTGAATGTAAACTATTGTTGCTATCAGAATTTATTCCATACGGAATATAACTTTCTCGTAATAAATTTTAAAGTCGTGGTTTTTATTATGATGTTCTTCTCGTTTCTTAATCACCAACTGCGATGTTCATAATCACTTTTCAAGCATTTTGTGTGTACCCAGTATGTCGACTAACTTTCAGAAGAGAAGACATTATCATTTTCCCGTTTAAGATTGTGTCAGTGTATCATATGTTAGATAAAATAATATAGATAAGCAGATAACATATATCATGATAGATGACAAATAATATTCTGGTCTTATTATCCTTTTTCTTTCTTCATTTTTTACCTTGAATTCGAGTTTGGATGATGAGTATGTTAACGTGTTGGTATATTTTCCTATTGTGTTTGTTATCGATATTAGCCTAGTTTTTTTCCCGCTCATCTCATCATGTTTTCATTTAGAGTTAAGCGTCTGTATTAAGTATGTTGTAAATATAGATGAATGTGAAAAATCAAAGAAGACGATTATATTGATCTTCATATTAAGTACAAAAAAATATGATACATACGCGCATCTTTAATATATCTCCGTGTAAAATAGTTCATGGATACAAACCCAAGCGGGGCCCAGTTTGTTCTCATTAGAAACTCAATTACTGGAAAACGTTGCTTTCAAAAGCACCGAATATATTGCCCTGTAGAAATAAAATTATTATATACTAGTGTATGTGAAATACAGATATATGTAAAATAAATTAAGGATTTCTCTAGTCATATTTAGAAATGAATTGTGAGATGTTCTAATGTGTTTATATGTCATAAGGTTGAACCTCGGATATGGTCTTAGGGACTGACTGGCGCATGGTCAATAACGTGATGTGTGATGATAATGTCAGAATATCCAAATGTTGTAAATAGACGTAACGTGAGTAGTTGACCGATGATCATCACTGTTCATGATAGTTCTGCTACATTGTACATTTATCTCGAAGCTTAGGTTACCGAGACTTCCCCATTTCCCTCCAAAGTATACTGATGTTTGGCGATTATGTGCAGGCTTCGACTAAGGATACACAAAAATAAGTGTCACTTTACAGAGTTTCACTAACATATACAAGGTGCAGTAATAGAAAATAGCTCCTAAGAGTGTCATAATCTTAATTGATTTCATCTTATTCTTACTCTTCACAAGACATGGAAGATGACACTTAGTGACATTCTATCTTCCTATCTGTGTCGACGTTTACAAAGAATATACTAATAGAATCATTCACTTGTGATTTGTTTTAACATTTAAATGTTTTATCTCAATTAAAAAGCAATTTTTTTAATTTTTGATGGGATGAAAAATAAATCATGAAGCCTTCTTGATATTCAAAAGTAAACAGGTGTAATATGACAACAAATTTACATCGATTGAAACACTTCTATAGACCGTCGAGTACGAAAGTTTTAGAAAAACCAATACAGACAACATACATATATATAAGGTATTCCGTATACAAAGTGCCCGAAGAAAAATGGATATAACAAGAACATTTCTTGGTATGCTGTTACATAAAAAAAACTCCTTTTGATAATCCCTGATAACAAACGATTGTTTGGTTTCAGTAAATACTATTTCCATTATTTATAGATTAACTAGGTCATAGGTTTATCTATGGTGTCAATGCATACTTATAAGTGATATCTTACAACACCATGTCTATGTCTACCTTCAGGTAACACACTGCCATGTCTCGATCTCTATCAAGAATATACCATGTCTTCATCTGTCTGACATCCAGATCTATCTTACACGAAACATGCATAGGTCTTTCTAACACCAAAATGTCTCTGTATAGCTAATATATAACATGCTTCGGTTTTGGTTACAAATCCTATCTAACACTGGGAATGTCTAGGTATATCTAACACACACCATGTCTAGGTCTATCTAACACACACCATGTCTAGGTCTCACACACCATGTTTAGGTCTATCTAACACACAGCATGTATAGATCAATTCTAACACACACCTGAAATATTTTAATGACAGCCTTGTCTACATATACACTGCAACCGATACCTTTATACATACAAAAACAGTAACCGATAACTCTAGACATATAAAAAAGGTAACTGATACCTTTAGACATGAAAAAACGTTAACCGATAACTCTAGACATACAAAAACCGTAACCGATAACTCTAGACATACAAAAGCGGTAACTGATACCTCTAGACATACAAAAACGGTAACTGATACTTCTAGACATACAAAAACGGTAACTGATACCTCTAGACACGCATAAAAGATAACTGATACCTCTAGACATACAAAAACGGTAACCGATACCTCTACATATACTAAAACGGTAACTGATACCACTAGACATTCTAAAACGGTAACGGATACCTCTAGATATACTAAAACGGTAATTGATACCTCTACACTGTGTCAATGTGTTACAGTGTGTCATTATTTACATTGAGTCAATGCGTTACAGTGTGTCATTGTGTTACAGTGTGTCAGTGTGTTACAGTGTGTCATTGTGTTACACTGTGTCAATGTGTTACAGTGTGTCATTATGTTACACTGTGTCATTGTGTTACAGTGTGTCATCGTGTTACACTACCATTCTGATATGTGTTGGTAATGTATAGGGGGAAATTCCGCTAGAATCTAACTCGTAATTCAGGATTTTGAGTACTTGAACTACATTAAATACCGAAATTTACATTTGATTACTTTCAGTCTTGAGGTAGGTAACTTGCATGGTCACATGTCAGAATGTGTCGGTTTCTTACTGAAGAACTTGGAATATGTTATCAATATAAAATATGTCCCAAAAAGACCTAACACGTAAAGGGTTTTTATCCAGGAAACATAAATATAAGCTCACTAAGTGGAGTAACCGACTTAGTATATATAATATAGCAAATGTTGTATTCCTTCATCTGTTATGAAATCACGATAACTTGTTAGTGTCTTCCTCTTGTTGTAAAACTCATATATTCACACTTGTATTAGCAATGTTGATTTACGTTTCCTACCACAGACAAATTCGTGATTTTTTTCTGAACAATTATAATTATTAGTATTTTAAGCCATTGCTCCAACTTTTATTATAGAAGTTTTTCCATCCGAATAATTGCCAATGTACCTGGCTTGGTATGAATAATATATAGTTTTGTCGGATGGTTAAATACTTTTAAAAGTCAAAGCCAACATTTGTCGTGGTATGTGCACAAACCCAATTAGTGGCAAGCCATCCGTGGAACATAAAACGTGCTCTTAATAGCCAGTAGACTACAAATCGCTCAATGGTGAACAACATGTGCGTTAAGTAGTAGACGTGTGTAAATATGGATACCTCTACCACTATCGGTTTGATTTGCGTCTTTCTGAACACAGGTAATTTTGAATCATTTTTGTTTTTATGTGAACTCTAACATTTTCACTTTTTATTTATTTTTTAATCTATTGTAATCAACATTATTTTCAATAATTAATAAAGAAAAAAAAATTATATATATATATATATATATATATATAACTGTATATCATTGCAGTCCTGTAAGATAAATGTTAAAGATACTTGCGCCAAGATTTATGCATAATTCAGTTTCACACGAATATAAAAAAAGTAAAATATTAAAGAAAAAAAGAAATTTCTATCAAAATAATTCCTATTTGAGATTCGAACCCTATCCAGTCTAGTTTTGAGTTCACCATTATCTTATTATGTCTTCGTTGGCGATTACCTAGTCTTGCCATGGATTCATGATGTTTAAAACAATATACAAACACGTGATCACCGGCACAATACAGACCAGGAGAGAGCAAACTATTGGCTCAATTGATCTCTTAAAATGTAAGCACCCATGATATTATGTATTCTTATATCATTTAACTTGTTTCCTGGATAATACTTGTATCCTGTGTATTCTTTTGTGATAAAATATGGACAGAAATTATTGACATGTCAACTAAATTCTTTTCATAATACAAACACTTGGCCAGTCTGATACAAAACAGTTTCATATCATTTTTTTTAGATTTTCATCGTAGTACTAATTCCTTCTCTACCTACACTTAATCAAAGTTATCAGTATACATCTTGATTTTAACATTTTTAACAGAAACGATTGATATTATATTCCTTAGTTTAATAACATGTTGCAGTGTCATTAAATGCGATATGTGTGGTCAGGAATGATAATAATTTTAAAACATTTTACCTCAAAATATAGTTGTTTGCCGTCGCTTTTTAAGGACACAGCATTTTTTTCTATTTAACTCACACACTCATCGAGAAAAGTCACCAAATTAGTAAAGTGGAAAATTATATATTTATGTTTCCATGGCAACAGTAGTAAGAAGTCTCAGTGCTTGTTAACTGTATAATACCTAAAAGTTATGCTCTCGCGTGACGCGAATTGGCCACAAAATGTCTTTTCCAAGTATAATCGCCATGTCAGGCCACCGCCGAACATGATTTGCTTTCAACATTAAGTTTACACTTGCCTTGTTCAGACTGGACCACTGTGATGATTGTGTAATAAACGGAGATAAAGGGGGAAAATAAAGAGAACTTTGATTTTCTAGATCTAACTAAACTAAACCAGTTAAACTGTAATAACCTGAACTATACAGAAGGAATAGATTTTAATTAGCCTAGCCCAATCAACATCAGATTGGCGACATACTTCACATTGTTGGTACAACACATTAAAATCAGAAATGATAAAAATGTTCGTTCTCTCCATAACTAATTTTAACCAGTACTTAAAGATTCTGATAAATTCTGTATTTCTATAACAAACAGATCAGATCTCCATATCTAAATATATTATTGTTTACAAAACTTTAAATGTGACCATTTTTTAAGAAATGCTGCATGAAAATTTCTACACCACACTAGCATATCATTTGATAAAGATATTAAAAAGAAATCACTGTGATATTTTAGAAACAAGTTTGTATATTTGCTTTAATTTGAAAAATCACTTTTTGAGACCTATTTGAAAGTTACTGGGAACGTTGCAGTTGCTTAGCAGTCTTGACAAAATATGCTTGGCATTCATTTTTTCTTTTAAAACTGATGCTAGCTATATTGCTTCCCAAGTTTTCATATTCTACATATATATATATTTGTTACCATGGTTATCACACTACTGAATACTCAAAAGTGTATCTTTTTCAAAAAATCACATTCAAAAATTTCTTGAATTTATTTGGTAATATGATTGAAACGCCCATATCAGTGAAAAACAATTTTGTTCGGCTACAAGCTCTATTTATGTTTGAAAATGTAATTCAAAATCAATAGAAAGAAATTTATAAACGATACATGGAAATGAGAGATTATTTAAAAATAATGATGTTTATCATATATCTGATAGATTAAAAACAAGTTTTATATATATTCTGAGCATTGTTTTTATACCAATAAATCTAACCACTGTATGCAGGTTAATAAATTAGTAAATGGAAAACAGGCACATAATTTCATGACAGGATTTGCTTTTACATCAAATAGCTTAAAGCCCTTCATAATACTGATAAATCAAAATTTTGAATTTTTTCTATAACAATTCCTGAAATATATAAAACAAAAAAAAAGTAACGCTACTTTATTCTGTGATTAATTAATTAACTCCTTCATAAATGTTACGAAATCATGTAATTCAATAATAATAGAAAGAAATTTATAAAACTGCAGTATGGTTCATTATAAAACTTTGCGTTCAGTTGATTTTATTCGACTGTAATAATGACGTAGTACTGATAAATCAAATGTCTTGTGACTAGCTGTTGGGGTCATATATACTAAACAAAAAAGAAAGGTAACACCACCCCTTCATAAAGTCAAGGGTATGGCCACCGTTTGCGAAGTATTTTAACAGCATTGCCGTTTTCGTCGCCGATGCGAATTCGAGGAGAGATGTTGTTCCATTCAGCGATCAAGGCTTGGGCCAGCTCCTGCAAGTTTGACGGCTGATTTTGACGTTCTCTCACGCGTCGCCCAAGAACGTCCCAGACATGCTCAATTGGTGACAAATCAGGTGATTTTGATGGCCAATCTAACACCTGTACGTTATTCTGCTGCAAGAAAGTTCTGTCAACGCGACTGGTGTGCGCTGGTGCGTTATCCTGTTGAAAAATGGCGCAAACGCCATGGCGTTTTAAGAATGGCAGAACCACTGGTCTTAAAATTTCGTTCCGATACCGAATGCCGGTTAAATTGCCATTTAACACAACAAGCCTGGTACGAGTCTCCCCACAAATACCACCCCATACCATTACACTTCCGCCGCCAAAGCGGTCCCGTTCTGCGACGCAGCAGTTCGCAAAACGCTCCCCACGTCGCCTCCACACTCTGCGCCTTCCATCACCGTGTTGCAGACAAAACCTGGACTCATCTGAAAACAGAACATTGCTCCATTGTCGTAAGGCCCAACGACGGTGAACACGGGTCCAGTTACACCGATTATTACGGTGACGTCGCAACAAATTGGGTCCAGTGTAGGGACGCCGCGCTTTCAATTGGTAGGCCCTCACCTGTTGCGGACTGTTTGGGGGGACACACGACATCCAAACGGTCATCCCTGGCGGTCGTCTGACAGGGTCGGCCGCTTCGGGAACGATCGGATGTTGACCCAGTTTGGTTTAAACGACTTACCAACTGGCAAATTGTCTTCACACTGCAACCAAAATGCCGTGCAACTCGACGGCGAGATTCCCCAGCCTGGATCATGCCTACAGCCCTTTCTCTCTGTACTTGTGACAGCCAGGGCATACTGATAAAGTTGATAGATAGCAAGGTTCGGTGATTTCTAAGTCCTAAGGATCTAAGGAACAGTTGTCAGTTTGAATGTTTATGAAATTCAAGCGAAGATACAAGTTAGTCGCAGAAAACCTCGTGCAGCTCTTTCGCTAATACAGACTTTCACGCTTGAATGATTTTGGTAACCCCCTTGGATTTTGTAATGTAAAACATTCCCATTTTCAAACATTGCACAAACGTCATTTTGTTTTCACTCATTTACAGGTATTCGCCAAGGAAACATGTTAACCTTTCTTTTTTGTTGAGTATATTGTCATAAATATAAGAAAAATAAATATTTCGAATTAAGCATTTTTTTCTCTCCTTTTTGCAGTATATGCATTAGAATCACCATTCTTCCTTAGCAACAGCACAGGCAATTGGTCAGAAGGCGAATCCTATTGTCTGGAACACAATGGCCGATTTGTGACCATTGATACACAAGGAAAATATGACCGTATTTTGGATTTGGACAACAATGACATGTAAGTAAACATACTTTATAGGCCATTGTTTCAATGTTGATAAGCTCAGATATACTACACAGACTATAAGTTCAGTTTGCATTTGTGAGTCATAAAACAAATTAATATAACACAATGTATATTTCTGCCTCAGCTTGTAGATTGATGCATCCCGTTCATCTGTTGTATATTTTCATTGTTCTTTGCGTACAATAGGGATACTGTGAATTCTTCATTTTCGCGGTGGATTTCTTTATGTTAATTTCGTGGATACACCTGTTACACGAATTCATATTTCCACAAATAAGAAGATTGATTGAACTAAATGTTTTTTAAAAAGTAATTGTCCATAATAATTATAGATGAAACAAATACTTGAACATTTTTTATTGTTTGATGGAAATTAGAGGTTATACCTGTTGTCATATCACGATTTGGATTATCGTTATATACTGGCTGTCTGCACCTATTTGAGATAATGTAATGAGGCATAATTTTAACATGAGTCGAATTCGAGTAATGAAACATCCAATTCGCTATCTCATTTTATATTTTGTATATTTTATATACATTTAAGACTAGCAAGAAAAGATCAGCAATTTTATTATCATTATTTCATAATTTTAATTCCAAATCAATTCAACGAGGGAATGGTGTATGAAAAAAAGCAATTTTAACATTGAGCATCTGGAAAGTGTGGAATAGTTAGTTAGTCAGTCAGTCAGTCAGTCATCTAGTTAGTTCGTTAGTTAGTTAGTATTTTAGTAAGTTAGTTAGTTAGCTAGCTAGCTAGCTAGCTAGTTAGTTAGTTAGTTAGTTAGTTAGTTAGTTAGTTAGTTAGTTAGTTAGTTAGTTAGTTAGTTACAGGTTTTACATCTCCCGGACTCCTCCCGTCGCCGGGCACTGTCTCACCGACGAATTTCATTCATATCACCCTCAGATGAGTGGAACTATCTGTAGCGGTTTATGTTTGATTATGTTAGTTTTTGAAGACTGCTTCAGATCCTGATAATGCCTTATCCTTCTTCTAGCAGACTGAAACATGTCCAGAATTCGAAAGAAGAGATTAGAAGCCTACAAAGATTCGGTTTAGGTTAAGATATTTTTAAGTCCTTCAGGTACATTAAAATTTTATGGCCTGAAAAGTCATAGATTGATCTTTAGTGTGTGAGAGTGGACAGTTCACATACGAGCTATATGTAGAAAGAGAATATCACAATGGCATTCCCTGAAGGTTCAGCGTCTTCGGCTTCATCAACGACACCTGACACCCAAGTTATGTTATAATCGCAAAAGAGAATAATATTAATCTTCGTTTACTAAAGATCCAGCTTTTATATCACACATGGGAAAAGTTTAATCATTTAAGTTGAACTGCTATAATATTAAGACAAGGCAGATAAAGCCCTGTCCCTATATTGCTCCATTCGGAACTTCTTTCTATATTCTTTGTTTAAAGTAAAATAATCATGAATTAACTCTTGCTCGCTACTGTCTGGTACCAAATCGTTGATGATAAAAGTTTAGAAATGTATTACTGAGAGGAAGACTTAGATGAAAACCAGTTAAGAAAATAAATGAATTCGCTCTGCCTTCACTCCCAACCCCAGTCCCTAATACTGCGGTAATCTGATAAGCCATACTTTGAGTGCCTAATTAAGTTGGCCACATACGATAAATTACCACACTTGTTTGGAGTATGTCTTCACCACTTCTAAATGAATAGAGAATATGTAATAGTGTATTCTGTACAGCACGAGTGGAAAATACAATAATATAAGAGAGTGAAATATCATTATTTGTCATTATTTAAGACATTTATAAATATTTTCTTTTTACTATTTTTGTAAGAGCGCCAAAGCCAAATATCTTGCATATTACGTACAGATATAGAAGAACGGAGCTGGCTTTGCTATTCACTCATTATAACTTCGCAGTACGCGCAAAAAGAATAGATAGAAAAGATATATCAACACAAAAATATATTTTAATGTAAAACATTCAGAGAGAGTTTAACCTGTATCAAGTTATTACGCGGATGAAATATAGCGGCAACCTAGATAGCTGTCGTTGTCACTGACATGAATATTTTTAAGATATCAAAATCAACTTTCATGACCTTCGGCTTGGAATTTGGTTTGACCCCGATAAGATTATTAGAGCTGCATTGTTTGCTGACCTCCATAGAAATGAAAGTTTACCATGGATATGAATAACGTGTGTGGGGGGGGGGGGGGGACGGTGGGTGTGTGTGCGTGTGTGTATGCGTGTGTGTGTCTATGTGCGTGTGTGTGTGTGTGTGTGTGTGTCTATGTGTGTGTGTGTGTGTGTGTGTGTGTGTGTGTGTGTGTGTGTGTGTGTGTGTGTGTGTGTGTGTGTGTGTGTGTGTGTGCGTGTGTGTGTGTGTGTGTTTTGTTTGTTTTTTTTTTCTTCTTTTTAACCAGACTTTATTTTGTCAATTTTATGAAATGATTTGTGTTCTCTTTTTTCTTTGGTGTATGTCTACAAAAGTGTTATATTTAGTGAAAGACAATGCTTTTATTAACGTGATATTTCTCTATATTTCAAAGGCAAACAATGTAATAAATGTGGTTATCTATGAACTCATTACTATATTTCAGATTATCAACGGAAGTTTTCATCGGCCTGTCAACCACGTCAACTAATTGTACCGACTACATCTGGAGCAGTGGCAAACCATTGGTGTGGAGTAAATGGCAGGTGGGAGGAGTAGATCCGGAACCCAATCGGTGCACAACTCAACAGTGTGTCAGACTTGCCTCTGGATACTTCAAAACAACGAATTGCAAAAATATGCTTAAAGTCCTATGCGAATATGGTACGTTTACGAAAGTTCACTATCATTTAAACCTCCATCGAACGATAAAAAGATATAGATCTTATAACAGAATCGTAATTCTCATAATCATTCCTGGAAAAAAGTGGAAGATACAAACCAAAGAGGCCATTCAGATGGTCCAAATACGGTGAGATAAGATATTCCGTCAACCCGATAGACTAATAGACAAATAAAGTTCTGGATCATTACGTTGATTTTCAAAAGGATTATAAGAAACCGAGAGATATTCCACTCAAGGGCCATAAAATATGGTGACGTAAGGCTTTGCTGAGGGTTTTACCACATTTTGTGATCCCGAAGATGGAATTTCCCTCTCTTACATAATGAAATATATTTTTCTCTGATATCAACACCAAACGTTTGGATAAAAAAAGACTGCTGGCCCTCCATGTTCGTAGTCATTCGCTGATAGGAAAATGACTTGTGTGTGACTATATTGTATAGAGTAAGTAAACATACGCTAAAAAAAGTGTTACATCGTGTACTTCAAATGATCTCTACCAGGAAAATAAATTGTTTTCACTGCACATATAGTTGATATATTTGATCATCAATATCTCATTTTCTATTATTTTAAGTATATGTATCTTTTAACTGTTTATCAATTTTTCAAGACACTGTGACGCTAACGCGACGGCAACACAGTCAAATGAATTTCATTCTCAAGTTCAAAACTTGACGTAACACAAGATCTCCATCCCAAATCGCTCTCGATCACAATTATGACACGACTTTAGGTGCTGGAACATTTGTGATGATATTCGATGAGAGTTTCAAACCGTTTCTGTGACACAGGATTGTAGGTGTTAACTCGGTTATCTTATTATGATGACGAAGGTAAACACATTGTGGTATCGGATGAAAAGTTGAACTAGACGAGGAGGATACAGAGGATAGTGTATGGTTAACAGAACCAAATCAGCGTTTTTAGTGTTTGACAACATATTAAAATCATACACCATTTTCTTTTATGCAATGTCCTATAGTAGCATGTTTATTGTGTTTTTATGGTCCGTAGCCTACACCTGCATTGTGTCGGGTACAAGTTCAGTCACTTTTTTATTGATCAATCATTCATAACCAGGCAGTTTTATTTTTTTACCATCACTCCCATCATATGGGCCAATAAATAGCATTAATTTTATTGAGATTTCCGAACCATTTCGGCTTTTGCAACTGCACCAAACTGGTTAGCTCATCCAATCTTTAATGTTGACAGAGTATTGTGACTTTGTTGATATGACGTTAGCACGTGACAACTGACAGATCAATGTAACAGATCAATGGGAAGAAAGAGACGATGCTGTAAGAGTGGTCTCTCCTGAACTCAGATTATTCCATGGAAGGTAGAATTTTGTGACATAGCAAACTTATATGGGCAAACTCTAACTTAACGGGATGTGGATACACATAGAACCTTATTATACACCTGTATAAATAAGTTACCGAGTCAATTACATTGAACAGTGACAACACGCCAACTAAACAAACATTTAGGTCTTATTCAACTATGTTTAAGAAGAATTTTAGACATCATTTCTTGTGTAAATACAACAAATAGGTATTTTCTTTACCATATCTGTAATGAACTTCGTGATTTTAGGCGACTTTTCGCACATATTCTTTGAATCCACGTTCATACACTTTCACGCGTGTTCCAGTACTGTAAAAAACCACATACTAATACGTGTTTGTATTCTTTCAATTTCTGCATCATCAAAAGAAATAGATCAAGTTCATGATTCATGTTTTATTATTTTGTTGTAGTTTTAAATAGTGTGCAAGAAAATCCTGAACTGCATGTATCACTTATTTCCACATGTATCATATTCATTGTTTTGTTACAGTATTGGATTATATTAGTTCCAGAAGATAATCATTATTATGTACATTTTCAGTTGTGAAAACACCTTCGTCATCAACAACCATGGCAACCACTCAAATCATCAAAACGACAACCTTGACAATGGCAGCTACCGAAACGTCAGTTACATTTTAACCATTCTCCTTCTCATCGCTATCGTCGGCCCTTGAAACTACATCACCAATAACGAAGAAACCTGTCGACATGGAGACATCACTGATAACAACAGTTGCTGAGGAAACATCAACGCTCCCGATGTCATCGTCACTTTTGTATTCGTCCACGACAAAATCAACAATAGGAACGGTTACAGCAATAGAACCTACGACAATCTCATCCACATCTGAAACTAGCATTACCAACGTGACCTGCATAATCAGAAAAACAAACGTAACCAAACTCAGTCATGGCGAACTCCTCGAAATCATCACTCAGCTGAAGGCGGAGCTCTCTGTCAGTAAGAATAACACCTCCACCTATCGGCGTAAACGGACAAGCGTTTATGAATCGAGACCATCTAGTATGATCATGGGAGGCGTGGCCTGTACAATCATGTCTGTATTGATCTGTGGGATTGTCGTACCGGACATTATCACACTGTTGGTATTTCTATTCAAATGTAGAATCAAGGAAAACTTTGTTAATCCTTAGTTTCCGAAAAGAACATTGAAAGAAATAACTTCATAACATATTTTATTATTGCATAAATGGTTTGCCATATGCAGTGTTCGACCGCAGAGCAACCGTAAGAGCTTTAAATTCAGTCTTTGAAAAGATCAAAGCATATTTGAATAGTCTAATTAAAACATAATTAAAGACTAACGGAATGACTATCAATTTTCTTTTTTTTTTTTTTTTTTTAGTAACTACAAAAATAGGATATATGAAATAAGAAATATTTACAAGGAGACTCATGAAAAATAAATACGAGAAGAATAACTCCAGATGTTCCGGAAGGGTACACATTATGTACTTCATCGAAGGCATCCGGCGTTACAACGATCCTGAACTCCTTACATTGTTGTGCATTTTTATGAGGGCTCGGTGTTTCTTTTTTAACATTTGCGACAGAAATAACAAAAATATATATTTTGGAAAGGATATTGAACATCTAGACCATCATGGTTCAAAAACTGAGATGGTACGTGATATTCTTGTGATGGTTTTTTGACAATAGAAGTTGTTTATCATTGCTTGGTGTCAGATCTTGTCTAACTGATTAGTCTCCAATTGTTATCATTTGAATACATTATTGGTCAATGAAGTAGACGCATGAACGTGTTGTAGTGTGCAGTAGACAAAGTATAATATACTACATGTATACGTCCATTTGAAGTTTTTGTGATTTCCAAACCGATTTACTTCGATGTTCTTTAGTAGTTAGTGATCTTTGCTTTCAAAAAATAATTATTTCTTAAATGTGATTGATGTCAAAAATTGATTTCATATTGCGATATCTGTCCTTCAGATGTACATTTTGAGAAACATTTATAGTAATTATCAAATGTTGTAATCATGTAATAGAATGTCTTATACATTTGAGAAACCATATTACGATTATACATCGTCACCATCAAACTTGCCATTTGGTATCCAAATCCTAATATGTAATATTAACGAAGTCATTTTTCGCCTTGGAAAAGTAGGAACTTCTAATATGTAATGTTCTTATTTTGCTCAGTTCAAACAATAACTTGTTCAAAATTCCGAAAGTTGGACACTAGTGTATTTTTTAAATTATATCGATTTCTGAGATGCTAATTTTCGGTAGTACTCGTGATATGAATGTAAACTATTGTTGCTCTCATAATTTATACCATACGGAATATAATTTCCTCGCAATCAATTTTAAAGCCACGGTTTTTACTATTATATTGTTTTCGTTTCTTAATCACCAACTGCGATGTTCATAGTCAATTTTCAAGCATTTTGTGTGTATTCAGTATGTCGACTAACTTTCATTTTGCCGTTTAAAATTGTGTCATTGTATCATATCTTAGACAAAATAACTTAGATAAACAGATACCATATATATCATGATAGATGACAAATAATATTCTGGTCTTATTCTCCTTTTTTCTTTCTTCATTTTTTGCCTTGAATTCGAGTTTGGATGATGAGTATGTTAACGTGTTGGTGTATTTTCCTATTGTGTTTGTTATCGATATTAGCCTAGTTTTTTTCCCGCTCATCTCATCATGTTTTCGTTTAGAGTTAAGCGTCTGTGTTAAGTATGTTGTAAATATAGATGAAAGTGAAAAATTAAAGAAGACGATTACATTGATCTTCATATTAAGTACAAAAAGAATATGATACATCATGCGCATCTTCAATAGATCTCCGTGTAAAGTATTTTTAAAAGCCACGTTTTCCAATAATTGAGTTTCTAATGAGAACAAACTATTTCCATTATTTATAGACAAACTACGTGATAGCTTACCTAGGGTGTCATAAAACCGCCCATGCATACTTATAAGGTATATTTACACACACCGTGTCTATGTTTATCTACAAGTAGCACACTGCCATGTCTCTATCTCTATCAAGAATATACCATGTCTTCATCTTCATCTTCAACACGAAACATGCATAGGTCTTTCTAACACCAAAATGTCTCGGTATAGCTAACATATAACATGCCTCGGTCTCGGTTACAAATCCTATCTAACACACACCATGTCTTGGTGAATCTAACACAGGACATGCCTAGGTATATCAAACACACATGTCTAGGTCTATCTAACACACACCATGACTAGGTCTATCTAGCACACACTATGTCTAGGTATATCTAACACACGATTTCTAGGTCAATCTTACACACACCCTGTCTAGGTCTATCTAACACACATCATGTCTAGGTCAATATAAAACACATCATGTCTATGTCCATCTAACAAACACCATGTCGAGGTCAATCTAACACACACCTTGTCTAGGCCTTTCTTACACACACCATGTCTAGGTCAATCTAACACACATCATGTCTAGGTCTACCTAACACAGGACATGCCTAGGGATATCAAACACACAACATGTCTAGGTCAATCTAACACACACCATGTCTGCTAGGTCTATCTAACACACACCATGTCTAGGTCTATCTAGCGCCCACCATGTATAGGTCTATCTAACACACACCATGTCTAGGTCTATCTAACACACACAATGACTAGGTCTATCAAACACACACCATGTCTAGGTCTATCTAACACACACCATGTCTAGGTCTATCTAACACACACAATGACTAGGTCTATCTAACACACACCATGTCTAGGTCTATCTAACACACACAATGACTAGGTCTGAAGTGGAGTTGATGGTCCTGAGCAGGGGGAATGTAGACAAGACATGTATGCTGTGAAGTTAAGGGTTCTGAGGGGGACATAGACAAGACAAGCCAGCAGTGGAGTCAATGGTCCTGAGGAGGGGGTGTAGACAAGACAAGCTTGTAGTGAAGTCAATGGTCCTGAGGAGGGGGTGTAGACAAGACAAACTTGCAGTGGAGTTAAGGGTCCTGAGGGGGACATAGACAAGACAAGCTTGCAGTGGAGTAAATTGTCCTGAGGAGGGGGATATAGACAAGGCAAGCTTGCAGTGGAGTCAATGGTTCTGAGGTGTGAGGGTAGACAAGGCAAGCTTGCAATGAAGTCAATGGTTCTGAGGAGTGGGGCTAGAAAAGGCAAGCTTGCAGTGGAGTCAATGGTTCTGAGGAGTGGAGGTAGACAAGGCAAGCTTGCAGTGGAGTCAGTGGTTCTAAGGAGTGAGTGTAGACAAGTCAAACTTGCAATGAAGTCAATGGTTCTGAGCGGTGGGGGTAGACAAAGCAAGCTTGCAGTGGAGTCAATGGTTCTTAGGAGTGGAGGTAGACAAGGCAAGCTTGCAGTGGAGTAAATTGTCCTGAGGAGGGGGATATAGACAAGGCAAGCTTGCAGTGGAGTCAATGGTTCTGAGGTGTGAGGGTAGACAAGGCAAGCTTGCAATGAAGTCAATGGTTCTGAGGAGTGGGGCTAGAAAAGGCAAGCTTGCAATGGAGTCAATGGTTTTGAGCAGTGGGTGTAGACAAGACAAGTCTGCAGTGGAGTCAGTGGTTCAGAGGAGTGCGGATAGTCAAGTCATGCTTGCTGTGGAGTCAATGGTTCTGAGGAGTTGGGGTAGACAAGACAAGCTTGCAGTGGAGTCTACCATGACGCCAACTCGCACGTACCGTGTTCTGTCCGCTTACGTCATGTCGAGAAGGATTCATAAGCCCCGCCATACAGTAAATACACTGTAAATCAAGTCATGCAGTTACAATAAATTCTGAAGATACAAGAAACCATTTTTTTTCTTACTTACAGTGAATTTGGTTGTTTTCTAGGAATATTCACAGCAGGCGATAAGAACCACGTCAGTTCGATCTTCTTCAGCAGCAGAGGTCCGGGCTGTCTGTGACCAATTCCGTAAAATATATTGTTCAAAATTTGTCAATAGTTCAACCACACTGTGCTTGGTTTCTTTTAATATATAGTAATCGTATTGTTATCAAAAAATAAACTAATTGTGGATGCTTTTAAAATAGCGATTTGAAAGATCGCGGCATTATTTACGCAGAAAATTGCCGCTAGAGGGCTCTAACTCTTTTCGATATTTCAGCCAATGAGAAGGCCAGAATCGGTAAATTTTGTCGGAAAGGCCGTCGACATAGGCTATACATACTGAGTACGTTTTTCATAAAACATTATGACAATGTCGTTTCAGAGTTCCAGGTTAAGGTGACCGTTCGGATTTCACCCAGAAGGATTTTGGTCAAACGGTTTCACACAAAGGTCAACCAATATTATGAGAATACCGCAGATGAATTTACGTTCCGAGGTTTAATTGTCACTGTTAGTAAAAATCCGTCAAATATTGATACTTCATTTTATGAGAGTGATGAATCCATGACCTTAATATGTTATCCGGTCATCAGAGTTGTGGTCCTTTTTAGAGTTAAAAGTCTTTCAAAATTTCTCCTTTCCAGTGCTCCCTCCCCCGACACGTTTTGGAATGGAAACCAGGTACAAAGTATTGATGTTGGACCCGAATGGTTTATTGTGCGAGTAATTTTACACATTCCATTTGGTTGCAGTGTAGATTGGACAACACATAATCTTAAATGGTTCTGGTTCTACGATGTCAATATCACATCATTCATACTTTAGTTTAAGTGGGATGTAATAGCCCAGACGATAAGGCCTTATGTAAACTTATGTGAATATTCGAGGTGTGTGGTTTTATGTTCGACAGTACTCGTGATAGTTTGTCTCTAAGGAAGTTGGGAAACGTAATTTTAATTATTTGCTGTTGTGATTGTGTCCTTGCAACCTTACGATGAAAACGGGGAAAAGTTATACATGTTGGAATATATTTATGTTACCTTTGGTATTCCTATTTAAAAAATATCGTTTTTTGTAAATAAATGTTAAATGACATCGAGTATTGATACATACTATAACTTATTCCAAACTGTAGAAAAAAAAATATGATAATGATAAAAGCAAAAAAAAAAATACTGCTATGTCGGGGTATCGAACCTCATCAGGCATACAGTGTAATACAGTCAACGTTGACAAAACGTTTTGATTTTGCCACATGTTAAAAGCGTTCCATTGACGCGTCTCCATGTGTTGACGGAGTTGGCGACGGTGAAATCGATTTTGATAAAATTCCGTCCTGGTTTACAGAAGGAAACATATTACAACATCATGGAAGAACACGAAGATGAAACTGACAAGGAAAAGAGAACTCTCGACAATGCTCTTATGGCAAGCATTGATATGGTGGCTCTCAACAACAAGGTAGGCCCATGCTCCTAGTCCATGCCAGTGTCCGTATGTGACTGCCCAATCCCATCTCACGTGTATTGGTCCTATTACATTTCTAAATAGCTAACTTCAAATTCCTGTACATGAGCTTAACGATACAGGAGGCGTAACACAAACGAAATTCGCACAAGCCCTGATATGTGTAGCAACAAATTGTTCGATCAGGACATTAGCCCTAGAATGATTGATCAAGAAATATCATTACTTAGACATTTTATACATGTCGTTTTGGGTTTTTTTACCAGGTTGTGTGTATGAGAAGCACTGCAAAGAAAGCAAAGATCTACACAATCCGAAAACTGAAGAATAGATTGAAGCAGCTGAAGGATAGGAAGTGAGCTGATTTCTTTTTTGATGACAAAACCTATGAAGTTTAATACCTTAGATAGCACATGTGATTATAACGAAGAGATACACACAATGCACTGGCTAATTACATCCACAACTGTATGCACATGTATATTCATTTGTGTAGCAATTTTCATGATTGCATAAGCTAAAAATTGAAACAATATATTGATACATTTATCAATAAATACAGAGAGATAGCACATGTTTTTATATGATAGAGATATCAATATTGTCCGAAGGGTTCTGACTATCTATCCATGATATCAATTTGTCTCAGTTGAGGACCCACAGATAGATAGAACCCTACAGACTAATATCAATAATGTGTCTAAATATTAGGATATGGGAATATATATGGTTTACTATAGTAATCGTTATTACTTGAAAATTGGAACTGTGGTAAAATTGACTGCATTAAAGTTTAGCATTACTTTTACATGAATAGAGGTAGTCCAGAAGAAATTGCCAAAGACAGAAGGAGGTTGAACAGATTTAAAGAAGAACTTCATGTCATAAGGGTGAGTGCTCATTTACAAGACAGTAATATGCTGCATACATAAAAAGAGTTAATGCATCATCACCTTATTAAAGTTAGACCTCTTGATTTCACTTTTTACACAGAAATCTGAAGGAACCCCATCAAAACCCCAGTTCTTAATGACCCTTGAGAAAGTTGTCTCTTGATCTGCCATATTTGGGGCCGATATTCGGCCCCATTCCCAATGCAACATAGTATCTTTTTTTCCCAATTTAGACCCCAAGTTTTCCCAATTCTAAGGAAAACACCATTATTTTTCACAATTCTAAGGGCCCCGGGCCTCAGTCCCAAAATGGGGTGTGAGAGCCCTGAAGATACATGGTTGTCTTTATTTCTGACATGTGGAATATCAAAATGGTATCAAACAGCTATTCATTGTTAGACGTGGCAATTAGCAAAATTTAGAATATTTGAACATCAACATTTTGACATCAGTGGAAGGGGAATAACTATTGATATCTATATGGTCAAAGTTAAATCATGTTGATGTTTACTATTAATAAAGATACAGCTATATAACAACAGCTCTTTGATATACATGTGTGCAAATTTACTGAAATTGATTTTTCAGAGAATATTGAACTCATAAAAAGAACATTTTTGAAATTGTTACTAATTTTCTGTAGATGTTAACTGGCAAAAGTCTCTGGATTTTATACATTAAGAAAAATTGTTTGGTTGTATTTTGCAGCATCTAAAGAAAGACCTGATCTCTAAGTATGCATTAGGGTGTACAGATACAGTTCATGATCTCTGCAAGAAACAGGTAAATAAATACAAAACAGAATTTGCTGGTAGATAAATTGATAACTGATTTAACTCGATATGTGAATAAATCGGATTTCAAAGCTTTTCCTTTGCCAATGACTTTTGGAAAATGATGCCTCCTCTTTAATTAGTAAAAAAACATTGATCTTGCTTTGTTGTTGAAAGAGCCAAAGAACAGAAATGTTAAATATTCAATTCAATTCTGACATTTTATGTTTAACTAATATTTTGTGTTGATATTTCTGGAGTAAACAGATGGCATGTTAATTATAAAGATTTGATGTCAAGGGTGCTTGAGACAAAGGTATCAAGCACTTTAACAATTTCTACAAAAACACAATGACAAGAGCCATGATAAAAATTATAGCTTGGCCGCAGTCATGAAGTTGTTCATATGATCAACACCAAAACTATAAGTGTCCAATGTAAATGTTTCTCTAAATTGTCTGCTTTTGACCTTCTCTTCAGAATGATGTGGCTATTGAGATCAGAGCTTTGACAAGACTTGCAGAGCACAAGTTGATGCAGCTGTCCATCAAAAAATTCCGAGAGGAGCATGAGGACTGGAAGTCTCTGGCTGCTTTTCTACTTACAAAACAATCAGGACGCAGGATTAAAAAACAGCGGGGGCCAACACCTATAGAAAAGATGATTACAAATGTGACAACAGGTCAACTTATGGTTAAAACATATCTACAGGACAAACTGGAGAGGAGTGTTGATCTCCCAAAAGACAAAAATATCAAAAAGAAAAAGAAAATTGTTGAGCAAGACAGCATGTCTGACAGTGAACCTGACAGCACCATCTCCAACTCTGATGTAGTGTCTAAAGGTACTGATCATGATGACATCCTTAGTTCTAAAAACTTGAGAAAGAGCCCTTTGAAAGTTTCTAAATTGACAAAAACAAAAGTTGAAGTTTCTCCTTCAACTGTGAAAAAGGATAAAATAAAGAAAGTAGAAGTAGTGAAATTTAATTCTAAAGACCTTGACGGATCTGAATCTGTTCCTTCTTTCATGGAAGAATCCACAGAAAAGAAAAACTTGGTAGCTCAATTGAGGGGTATCAGTGATGAGGAAAATCATTCTGAATCTGAGATGGAGCATGGTGAAAATAGCAAAAGTGATGATTCCATCAGTGAACATGAAGATAGTGATGAACTGAGTGGAAGTGGAAATTCATTACCAAAAACTCAAAATGTCGAGAAAGTTTGTGGGGAAATGGTGGTAAAAAAACTAGAATTGGATGATGATGTTGTAGATGAAAGTTTCATGACAGATAGAAATGTTACTGTATTTAATGATGAAATAACAACAACAACAACTAAAAAACCCAAATCTAAAAAAGCCATAGATTCCTTCTTTGTTAGAAGTGATTCAGGCAGTGAGGATGGAGAAACAGGAAGTGAAGAGGATGATGGGAAGGAAGATGAAGATTATGATGATTTCAGTAATGAATTGAATGAGACTGTGGGAAATCCAGCATCAAAAGGGAAAACAGCATTACGGTCTACCTTCATGTATTCCTTGAGTAACTCTAAAAAGAAATCTAAAACTCATGGTACTCGGGGAAAATCATGGGAGGGGCCAGATCGGGGTGAAAAGTCTAGGGGTATGAATGAGGAAAGGGGAGCTTACAACAGGGGCCACATGCAACGGGGAGGAAAGGGAAGTTATGATGGTGGAAATAGGGGGCGTGGAAATTTTGACAGAGGTAGTGGTAGGGGCAAATTTCATAAAAGTAGGGGCAGGGGAAGCTTTGATGGAAATAGGGGACATGGCAACTTCGATAGAAATGGAGGTCATGGAACGTTTGCTGGTGGTAGAGGACAGAACTTTGACAGACAAGGAAGAAAAGACTGGAAACCTGCCCATAAAGGGTAAGTAAATACATGGACTGATCTATTGTGACAAAGAAATTCTATTTGTTTTAAGATTTTTCATGTATACCACTTTTTTCAGTTCAATGTAGTTTCATAAATCTTTGGGATATTCCATGAAATTTTACAGCCTTTGATGATAACTCTGTTCATTTTCAATATTAAGACAAGACAAAATTATGTCTAAATACTTTGACTAAAATATGTGTTTTAAAATCTTCTTTTTAATAGGTCTTTATCACAGTATGGCACATCAAAGAACATCCAAGAAAAACCAGCAGGTAACAATTATTGGAATACACAAGTATTTGAATTATTAAAAGAGATCTTTGACTTGGAAGAAATATGAACATGTAGTTTGAATACTGAAATGAACCATTTTAAATACTTATTAACAGGATGGACTCATGGTTAGTATTTAGATGGCTCATGTTTCCTGTATTGAACTTAATCTGCATATTTTGGTAATATCCTGGCATCAGATGTTTAGTCAAAATCTACCAATAGGTGTTTGCTTTAGACAAGAAAACTTATTAAAACTGAATTGAATTAATACTGGTATCATGAACCTAGAACTCATCAGATAGCAGTGCGGTTAAATGTTTCATTAAGATGTTTTTCTATATTTTTCAAATAATCAGATGACGGTCCACTTCATCCGTCTTGGCAGGCAAGTAAGAAACGAAAGGAGCAAGGTGGAATCCAGGCCTTCCAGGGCAAGAAAATTAAATTTGATGATTAAAGACCAGAGACTGGAAATTCGTCTAAAAAGTATATGAGACTACTGAAGTATTAGTGGGTACAAATCATGTTGGTCGACAATTTTTAATTTGATTACCTACATTTCTGTAAAATACTGCATATTTTATTGACTTCAAATAAATCATCTGAACAACTCTTTTGTAATATTTTATTAGTTGTCTTATTTTTCTGCAAAATATTGTTTATTATATCCTGCCTAATCTGCCCTCTGTCTGATCCAGCTCCTTGTCTATACAGGCCTTAATATTTGGTTTTTGTATTACCTCTTAAAAGAAGTCGGGTGTACTACCTACCCAGGGTGGATTATGTTTCTCAAGAACTTAAGCTGAGAAATGGACTCGTCAATGCTGGTCTGTTCTTGAGCAAAACACTTTACCCTAATCACTTTAAATGACATGTGACAGACCTCACTTATGTTAAATGATGGCGTCACATGGCGACCTCCATACTATGAACACATTTCACAAGCTATTCCAAAAGGTGAGGTGAATTGAGACACAAATACTGTATACAGGGATATTTTCACCTTTGTTCCATTATACACAAATTTACCTTCCATTCATTTTGCCCTCTGGAGATTATACAAGAGGCCCATGGGCCTTAACGGTCATCTGACAAAAAGCAAGCCAAACCTAGAAAGTGGGTTGAGGTCATTCATTTGAACAAACTTGGTAGCCTCTCCTCCAAGCATCTTACAGGCCCAATATCAGCACTCATGGACTTTTGCTTGTTGAGAAGAAGTCGTTTGTATATTTTAACATATTTGACCCCTGTGACCTTGAAAGTGGGTTGAGGTCATTCATTTGAATAAACTTGGTAGCCTTTCCTCCCAGCATGCTACAGACCCAATATCGGCACTCATAGACTTTTGCTTATTGAGATGAAGTCCTTTGTATATTTTAACATATTTGACCCCTGTGACCTTGAAAGTGGGCCAAGGTCATTCATTTGAACAAACTTTGTAGGGCTCCATGCCAGCATGCTATGGGCCAAGTATTAGCCCCCTAGGCCTTCTAGTATTTGAGAAGAAGTTATTTAAAGATTTTGACATATTTGACCCCTGTGACCTTGAAAGTTGTTCAAGGTCATTCATTTAAATAAACTTGGTAGCCTTTCCTCCCAGCATGCTACAGACCCAATATCGGCACTCATAGACTTTTGCTTATTGAGATGAAGTCCTTTGTATATTTTAACATATTTGACCCCTGTGACCTTGAAAGTGGGCCAAGGTCATTCATTTGAACAAACTTTGTAGGGCTCCATGCCAGCATGCTATGGGCCAAGTATTAGCCCCCTAGGCCTTCTAGTATTTGAGAAGTTATTTAAAGATTTTGACATATTTGACCCCTGTGACCTTGAAAGTTGTTCAAGGTCATTCATTTAAACAAAATTGATAGCCCTTCATCCTAGCATGCCACAGGCACAATATCAGCAATCTGAGCCTTTTGGTTATTGAGAAGAAGTTGTTTAAAGATTTTAACATATTTGACCCCTGTGACCTTTAAAGTGGGCCAAGGTCATTCATTTGAACAAACTTTGTAGGGCTCCATGCCAGCATGCTATGGGCCAAGTATTAACCCCCTAGGCCTTCTAGTATTTGAGAAGAAGTTATTTAAAGATTTTGACATATTTGACCCCTGCGACCTTGAAAGTTGTTCAAGGTCATTCTTTTAAATAAACTTGGTAGCCTTTCCTCCCAGCATGCTACAGACCCAATATCGGCACTCATAGACTTTTGCTTATTGAGATGAAGTCCTTTGTATATTTTAACATATTTGACCCCTGTGACCTTGAAAGTGGGCCAAGGTCATTCATTTGAACAAACTTTGTAGGGCTCCATGCCAGCATGCTATGGGCCAAGTATTAGCCCCCTAGGCCTTCTAGTATTTGAGAAGAAGTTATTTAAAGATTTTGACATATTTGACCCCTGTGACCTTGAAAGTTGTTCAAGGTCATTCATTTAAATAAACTTGGTAGCCTTTCCTCCCAGCATGCTACAGACCCAATATCGGCACTCATAGACTTTTGCTTATTGAGATGAAGTCCTTTGTATATTTTAACATATTTGACCCCTGTGACCTTGAAAGTGGGCCAAGGTCATTCATTTGAACAAACTTTGTAGGGCTCCATGCCAGCATGCTATGGGCCAAGTATTAGCCCCTAGGCCTTCTAGTATTTGAGAAGAAGTTATTTAAAGATTTTGACATATTTGACCCCTGTGACCTTGAAAGTTGTTCAAGGTCATTCATTTAAACAAACTTGATAGCCCTTCATCCCAGCATGCCACAGGCACAATATCAGCAATCTGAGCCTTTTGGTTATTGAGAAGAAGTTGTTTAAAGATTTTAACATATTTGACCCCTGTGACCTTTAAAGTGGGTCAAGGTCATTCATTTGAACAAACTTGGTAGTCCTTCATCCTAGCATGTCACAGGCCCAATATCTACACTCTGAGCCTTTTGGTTAATGAGAAGAAGTTGTTTAAAGATTTTAACATATTTGACCCCTGTGACCTTTAAAGTGGGTCAAGGTCATTCATTTGAACAAACTTGGTAGAGCTCCATGCCAGTATCCTCTGTGCCAAGTATTAGCCCCCTAGACCTTCTAGTATTTGAGAAGAAGTCGTTTGAATGAAAAGTTTACGGACGGCGCACGGCGCACGGCGGACGGCGCACGGCGCACGGCGGACGACGACGGACGAAGCATGATGACTATAGGTCATCGGACCCTTCGGGTCAGATGACCTAATAAAAGGGTTATTATATAGGTGCAACAAATTTTCACCCTCATTATAAAACCCACATTCCTGTTTAAAGATGAAGAGGGTGAATATTTCCCAATGTACAGTATACTCTTACAACAGAAAGTCTTATTCTGTGGTTTGATGAATGAATTCAATTTTCAAATTACCTTATCTATTTAATTTCCAAAAACCAATTACACCTTTATAAACTGACCAAATATTTAGGTCCCAGTGATGACATCCAGTGTAGACAGATTATTCACAAATCTTCACACAAGTGCTTCTCTCAAGTCCCTGAATGCAATGGTGATGGAAAAAAATCTATGACTATCAATTCAAACCACACAATTTTATAAAAATTACATATGTCTGATGTTTCATCTTCAAATCTTTGTATCAGTAGTATCTGTCATCTTAATGCCAAAAATAAGGAAATATCTAATTGAATGAATACATTTATTCATAACATCTTCAGTATGGTTTCCATAAGTTAACCATACTAACATTATAGAAGTGGAATATTCACTCCACACATTACATACTGTAGAACTGAGATCAGGCAGGCATACCTGTTCAGCAACACAATAAATTTCATAATCCTTCCAACTCCAGCTTGGATAGATGAAGTAAAGCTAGCTTGATAGATAGAACCCCTCTGAATCGGTGTTCGTATTGCACAGTCTCGCATCACGAGGGGAAAAATAAACATACAGTCCTTTATCACTATTTGTAAATCAATGAACACCTCATTATCAGTACTAGAGCTCAATATACTTAAATCGTTATATTTATCAGATAAATATGACACACAACCCACTTAGATCAGACTACAGATCTTGCTCTCCCCTTCTGTATGTCAGTTATGATTCTGTATCAACTCCTGAAGTATGATCCAGATTAGATGTTATCCAACTCCCTATGTGTTTTGGATGTTAGTTAAATATCCAGGTATGTTTCACCCTTTAGAAGTCTCTTGGTTTGGATGTTAGTTAAATATCCAGGTATGTTTCACCCTTTAGAAGTCTCTTGGTTTGGATGTTAGTTAAATATCCAGGTATGTTTCACCCTTTAGAAGTCTCTTGGTTTGGATGTTAAATATCCAGGTATGTTTCACCCTTTAGAAGTCTCTTGGTTTGGATGTTAAATATCCAGGTATGTTTCACCCTTTAGAAGTCTCTTGGTTTGGATGTTAAATATCCAGGTCTCTTTCACCCTTTAGAAGTCTCTTGGTTTGGATGTTAATTATCCAAGTCTGTTTCACCCTTTAGAAGTCTCTTGGTTTGGATGTTAAATATCCATGTCTGTTTCACCCTTTAGGAGTCTCTTGGTTTGGATGTTAAATATCCAGGTCTGTTTCACCCTTTAGAAGTCTCATCACCAATGTGAGATCATGTTGGACACATGTCTGATTGATCCCGAAGTCGTATACATAGCTATTCACTTTCTCCAATACTGCAAAAGAAATATTCCTATATTCAAATCCTTTATCATTATTGTAAATTGACAGAGCTGTAAACTGAAGGCAGATAATCCCCTTCATCAATATATATAAACGATCAAAATGAAATACAAATGAATACAAACTACCCCTGCAATCCAAATTTATATTTCCATAAGATACATTATTTGAATTTGTGGTATACCACAAAAAACACTAACAGGAAAAGAAACCTTGTTTATAACCATAACTTCCACCAAGCCAGGAGTTGGTGACAAGTTTTTAACTCAAAATAAAAAATCATGTCATTTCTAATTGTGATCGATGCAAACAATTAATCAATTTCTTTGTGTAAATCTTGTGTCAACCATATTTGTAAGAAGCCTCTGAAGACATGAAGGTTTATACCATGGAAACAGAAATCTACACTGACAGATATTCAGATTGAAACCATGGAAACAGAAATCTACACTGATAGACATTCAGATTGAAACCGTGGAAACAGAAATCTACACTGATAGACATTCAGATTGAAACCATGGAAACAGAAACCTACACTGATAGACATTCAGATTGAAACCATGGAAACAGAACCTACACTGATAGTCATTCAGATTGAAACCATGAAACAGATATCTACACTGACAGACATTCAGATTGAAACCATGGAAACAGAAATCTACAGTGAAAGACATTCAGATTGAAACCATGGAAATAGATATCTACACTGACAGACATTCAGATTCAAACCATGGAAACAGAAATCTACACTGACAGACATTCAGATTCAAACCATGGAAACAGATATCTACACTGACAGACATCCAGATTAAAACCACGGAAACAGAAATCTATACTGACAGACATGTGCGTGGAGGTTATGGAAACAGAAATCTACAGTTATAGATATTCAGATTGAAACCATGGAAACAGAAATCTACACTGATAGACATTCAGATTGAAACCGTGGAAACAGAAATCTACACTGATAGACATTCAGATTGAAACCATGGAAACAGAAACCTACACTGATAGACATTCAGATTGAAACCATGGAAACAGAACCTACACTGATAGACATTCAGATTGAAACCATGAAACAGAAATCTACACTGACAGACATTCAGATTGAAACCATGGAAACAGAAATCTACAGTGAAAGACATTCAGATTGAAACCATGGAAATAGATATCTACACTGACAGACATTCAGATTGAAACCATGGAAACAGAAATCTACACTGACAGACATTCAGATTCAAACCATGGAAACAGATATCTACACTGACAGACATCCAGATTAAAACCACGGAAACAGAAATCTACACTGACAGACATTCAGATTCAAACCATGGAAACAGATATCTACACTGACAGACATCCAGATTAAAACCACGGAAACAGAAATCTATACTGACAGACATGTGCGTGGAGGTTATGGAAACAGAAATCTACAGTTATAGATATTCGGATAGACACCATAGAAACAGAAATCTGAACTGACAAACATGTACATTGATGCCATGGAAACAGAAATCTATACTGACAGACATGTGCGTGGAGGTTATGGAAACAGAAATCTACAGTTATAGATATTCGGATAGACACCATAGAAACAGAAATCTGAACTGACAAACATGTACATTGATGCCATGGAAACAGAAAACTACACTGACAGACATTCAGATAGACACCAAGGATACAAAAGTTTATATTGACAAATGCAGATCTATGCTCCTGATTAAGACATCTCATTCTGTATTGACGAACCAGGACTGTTATATGAAACATTACTAAGAATGTTTTACAATAAATTCCGTCATAGTCCTGATAACATGGTTAGAAACTCTAGGTAATACAACATGACGATTGTAGCACAGACCTGAGCCATTTTGTGTAATTGCTCTACGATGACCGCCATCATGGCCGACACACTAACATCGATCACATTTTGCATGTAATGGACCGCTTCTTCATCTGTCAAATGTAATACAAACTTATCCTGCACCTAAAACACACACAAAAGTTTATTAGGATTTGCTTCCTGAATACATAGGTTTGGATTAAAATGAGATCATGGTAACGACAAATATGGAAAACTGATCAGATATCAAGATAATGTTTACCAAGTAATTTACCTTATTCATTGGACAATAAGTCCATACCTGGTAATATGCCCATCCATATATATTAATATTCAGTAAAAAATAGCAGATCAAAGCTATGTCTTTGTCCTGTAATAAGCCCATCTTCTGAATTTGTGTCAGGTGTAATACAGTTCATGCATAGTATGTCAGGACCAGTACTTATAACCATACAAATTTATCACAATGTACAAATACAGATTTGAACCAAAAGACATCAGTACAACACAAGGTGAATTTGTTTTTAAAAGGCTTGAGTGGTAAAATATGACAAAACAAGACATCAATTACCTTTTTGACAGTTTTATCTGGCTCCAACGCTATGTCTGGAATGTTGGCATCCAACATAAGAGAAAATAGATTCAAAATAAGATTGGCCGACCTGAAAATCAAAATTATAAAAAGTTAGAATGTCTGAATATATCATATAAAACTTAAACAGTCAAATAAGCAAGATATTTTTTTATTTTTCCTATACTTTTTACACATTTATGCATAAAAACTAGAGTACAATTTCTCAATAACTTTTGTCTAAGAATTGTAAATCTGTGATATAAATATCATTCCATACATGTAAAACAATAGAACATTTTTTCCAATTGACATTACCACACATCAAGTTAACTTGTAAACTTCAAGATCTTCCTCACCTCCGAATGGCCAAGAAGGAAGTGTAACACAATTTTTTAAATTCATGGAAATGTTCAGAAGATGTTCCTCCCATAGCCTCTACCATCTCTTTACTCAACCTCATCGGAGATGGCATGGGCTTGGGGTCGCGACCTAGGATGTATCCGAAGTCGATGTGGAATAACTTCCCTGTGAAGTGAAGAAGAAGATATGTATAAATACGAGTGCAATGCTAATATGGCCACATCTGATCTTTCTATATTTCCTAGTTAGGTGTAAAAAAAATTGAGTTTGTTGTCCTGAAGAAGTCCAGTGACAGGTGAAACTGGTTGACAGTAATGGAATAAATTAAGACACCTACTCTGATGCTGTTGTGAATGTGATACTCTTACTTAAACTGACTGAACATTCAAAACTACCTGACAATGACAGCAGGGAGATCTCTCATTCAATGCTTCATTCAGATCCTTCTGAATAGCCCAGTCCCTCCAATATGATGTGTACTGCGAGAGAAACTTGTAAAGCACCATGTTGTCAGTACACTTCACAGTCCTTGGTGAATAATGCCAAGCAATAGGATGTGTTACATGGCTGGAAAACCAGCAACTAACCAACAGAAGAGTGCTGCAATGGTACTCACCTGTTTTTGTTAACAGTAAGTTGTCAAGGTGACGGTCTCCAACACCCAAAACGTATGTAACAACAGAGTAGCCAGCTAAAGATGAAGAAGAGAACACTATACAGTCTTTCTTTGCCATATGTACATTCTATGCTCATACCTTTTTCATCTGTATATTGTAGTTTACGAACAATTCAAACACTTCAAGCTCAATGATACCATAATATTACTAAGCATTATTAAAACTGGATCAAATTAGTATAGGAATAAATCAGCATGATTTTTATTTAAGATTCATAAAAACCATCAAAATACTGATCAATTACTAATAATCAAAATAATAAGTAGGTGATTAGAAATCAGATTCAAGATATAGATAAAAATTGTATTTCTTCATGCTTAACTTGAATATTTCTACATACCAGTAAAATATCTATAATTAGTATCAGTAAATTCTTATCTATGGAATTATTTCCTGTACTTGTCTTCATTGTTTTATAAAATGAGATTCCTTTTTTTTTTTTTACAAAATAAAGCCGGCGTTCACTTACCACAGCTTTTGATATAATTGTCCATGACCTCTGGAGATATACCATACGGAGCGCCCTCTGCTGGTGCATGTTTACGAAAGAAGTTTTGAATACTGCCATCTTTGTCTAAAACGTCAGCAACATTAATGGAATCAATATACTGGACAAGTCCTGTAAAAATGAAATAACATGTATATTACAATTTCTTCCTAAAACATTAAAAGAACTTAACATATTTATTGAAATTTTAAAGGGTACATTTTAAGTTATGATTATTGATAGACGCTTTTAAATTTTTTCTTATTTTTTTTTTTTTTTTTACAAATTGTCGTACATGATTTCTTGAAATAAATGTTTTGATAGATAACAGAAAAATACAGTGAGAAAAAGAACTTAATGAATTGTGTCCTATGTACACCAACTACACCAAAAACAAACCTGAGCGAAAGAATATCTGTCACTATACATTACACCAATGTAACCTTCCAAGTACTCAAGTAGCCCGGCTGATGTTTTGATCACTATCCAGTAAATATGTCAGCTGAAACTCACTGTGTTTACTACTGAGAGCTTATATTAAGTGATGTCTAAATGACCTTTAGTTAAACTCACTGTGTTTACTACTGAGAGCTTATACTAAGTGATGTCTAAATGACCTTTAGTTAAACTCACTGTGTTTACTACTGAGAGCTTATACTAAGTGATGTCTAAATGACCTTTAGTTAAACTCACTGTGTTTACTACTGAGAGTTTATACTAAGTGATGTCTAAATGACCTTTAGTTAAACTCACTGTGTTTACTACTGAGAGCTTATATTAAGTGATGTCTAAATGACCTTTAGTTAAACTCACTGTGTTTACTACTGAGAGCTTATATTAAGTGATGTCTAAATGACCTTTAGTTAAACTCACTGTGTTTACTACTGAGAGCTTATACTAAGTGATGTCTAAATGACCTTTAGTTAAACTCACTGTGTTTACTACTGAGAGCTTATACTAAGTGATGTCTAAATGACCTTTAGTTAAACTCACTGTGTTTACTACTGAGAGCTTATACTAAGTGATGTCTAAATGACCTTTAGTTAAACTCACTGTGTTTACTACTGAGAGCTTATACTAAGTGATGTCTAAATGACCTTTAGTTAAACTCACTGTGTTTACTACTGAGAGCTTATACTAAGTGATGTCTAAATGACCTTTAGTTAAACTCACTGTGACCTCTACTGAAGCTCACCACGTGCCAATCTAACCACTAACAATAGTCCAGCGGATGGGACTTTAAATGGTGGCCCGTGTGAGGACTGTTTGCTCTCAGACTCTCTAATGATACTTCTGTAGCTTTTTGAAAAAGAGTAGGCATAATAATGCCAGTCCAAAGGTTTAGGGATAATGTTAGGCTATACAATTGTTTTCTAAGGCATTAAAGGGACTTCAAAATTACTCTAACCTAAACCAAATCTAAGTAAGCCCCCAATTCTTCCTTTCAGCTTCTGGACATGTTGCAAATTGCTAGAGTTAGGATACAGCATCATTGAGCCCCGGAGCTGTCTTCTATAATTAGCATAATCAAATGTTCACTGCTACAGATGGTTCCACCCTCTGAGAGGGATTCAAGTCAGCCCTTCACGTCACCAGAACACTGACAATCCTTGGTGAGATGATACCTGGCAATGGGAGGAGTTGCAGAGATGGAAAACCTGTCAACCAACCAACTTTCCATGATTAGTACTAGTAGCTAATACTCAAAGACCTTTAAATTACCTCTACTGAAACTCACTGTGTTTTACTGATAGCTAATACTTACTGACCTTTCAATGACCCCTATTGAAACTTACCATGTTTACTACTGTATCCAACACTTACTGACCTTTAAATGACCTCTACTCACCATGTTTACTACTGGTTGCCAATACCTTGTAAGGTAATAACTTGAGATCCAGATTCTCCCTTCTTAGTAGCTGAAAAAACATCAGTTTCATAATATGTATTTAACTTTTGTTTCAGATCATCAACTTGGTAATATCTTTTAAATACATTAAAACAACACTCTAGACAAGTCATATTAATGACTTTAAATACATTATAACAACACTCCAGACAGTGTCAATGCAGTTTACAGTTATAACTGTTCTTACCAGTGACTGTCTCCCAGGTTTGAGGGAGATATGATAAATTGTCTCCCAGGTTTGAGGGAGATATGATAAATTGTCTCCCAGGTTTGAGGGAGATATGATAAATTGTCTCCCAGGTTTGAGGGAGATATGATAAATTGTCTCCCAGGTTTGAGGGAGATATGGTCCCAGGTCTGAGGGAGATATGATAAATTGTCTCCCAGGTTTGAGGGAGATATGATAGATTGTCTCCCAGGTTTGAGGGAGATATGATAAATTGTCTCCCAGGTTTGAGGGAGATATGATAAATTGTCTCCCAGGTTTGAGGGAGATATGATAGATTGTCTCCCAGGTTTGAGGGAGATATGATAGATTGTCTCCCAGGTTTGAGGGAGATATGATAGATTGACTTCCAGGTTTGAGGGAGATATGATGAATCGTCTCCCAGGTTTAAGGGGGATTTGATAAATTATCTCCCAGGTTTGAGGGAGATATGATAAATTGTCTCCCAGGTTTGAGGGAGATATGATAGATTGTCTCCCAGGTTTGAGGGAGATATGATAGATTGTCTCCCAGGTTTGAGGGAGATATGATAGATTGTCTCCCAGGTTTGAGGGAGATATGATAGATTGTCTCCCAGGTTTGAGGGAGATATGATAGATTGTCTCCCAGGTTTGAGGGAGATATGATAGATTGTCTCCCAGGTTTGAGGGAGATATGATAAATTGTCTCCCAGGTTTGAGGGAGATATGATAGATTGTCTCCCAGGTTTGAGGGAGATATGATAGATTGTCTCCCAGGTTTGAGGGAGATATGATAGATTGTCTCCCAGGTTTGAGGGAGATATGATAGATTGTCTCCCAGGTTTGAGTATGATAGAATTGTCTCCCAGGTTTGAGGGAGATATCTCCCAGGTTTGAGGGAGGTTTGAGGGATGATAGATTGTCTCCCAGGTTTTTAGATTGTCTCCCAGGTTTGAGGGAGATATGATGAGATTGTCTCCCAGGTTTGAGGGAGATATGATAGATTGTCTCCCAGGTTTGAGGGAGATGATAGGTTTGATAGATTGTCTCCCAGGTTTGAGGGAGGAGATGTCTCCCAGGTTTGAGGGTGATATGACAGAATGTCTCCCAGGTTTGAGGGAGATATGATAGATTGTCTCCCAGGTTTGAGGGAGATATGATAATTGTCTCCCAGGTTTGAGGGAGATATGATAGATTGTCTCCCAGGTTTGAGGGAGATATGACAGAATGTCTCCCAGGTTTGAGGGAGATATGATAATTGTCTCCCAGGTTTGAGGGAGATATGATAGATTGTCTCCCAGGTTTGAGGGAGATATGATAGATTGTCTCCCAGGTTTTGTCTCCCAGGTTTGAGGGAGATATGACAGAATGTCTCCCAGGTTTGAGGGAGATATGACAGAATGTCTCCCAGGTTTGAGGGAGATATGATAGATTGTCTCCCAGGTTTGAGGGAGATATGATAGATTGTCTCCCAGGTTTGAGGGAGATATGATAGATTGTCTCCCAGGTTTGAGGGAGATATGACAGAATGTCTCCCAGGTTTGTCAGATTGTCTCCCAGGTTTGAGGGAGATATGACAGAATGTCTCCCAGGTTTGAGGGAGATATGATAGATTGTCTCCCAGGTTTGAGGGAGATATGACAGAATATCTCCCAGGTTTAAGGGGGATTTGATAAATTGTCTCCCAGGTTTGAGGGAGATATGACAGAATGTCTCCCAGGTTTGAGGGAGATATGATAGATTGTCTCTCAGGTTTGAGGGAGATATGATAGATTGTCTCCCAGGTTTGAGGGAGATATGATAGATTGTCTCCCAGGTTTGAGGGAGATATGATAGATTGTCTCTCAGGTTTGAGGGAGATATGACAGAATGTCTCCCAGGTTTGAGGGGGATTTGATAAATTGTCTCCCAGGTTTGAGGGAGATATGATAGATTGTCTCCCACGTGTGAGGGAGATATGATAGATTGTCTCCAGGGTTTGAGGGTGATATGATAGATTGTCTCCCAGGTTTGAGGGAGATATGATAAATTGTCTCCCAGGTGTGAGGGAGATATGATAAATTGTCTCCCAGGTTTGAGGGAGATATGATAGATTGTCTCCCAGGTTTGAGGGAGATATGATAGATTGTCTCACAAGTTTGAGGGTGATATGATGGACTGTTTCCCTTAATTTTGATATGATAGATTGTCACCTAAATCTAATGGAAACAGGAATGGTTACTGCACAGAAACAAATATTGTTTTCAAAACAAATCCAGGAAAAAGTGTATAATTGTGTCAAACATCTTACCTGTTAACAATGTGTAGGTTATTTCCAAACACCATACCTTACCTTGTCCATTAGAGAGATCATTTGTAAAATAAGCTGGTCCTGTCGAAGGTCATCTCCATGTTTGAATAAGGCAACATAATCTGGCCCATCCATCGTCTTGAAAGTAAGCTTACAAGGCATCAGAGCACTCTACAACATAACAAGGGGCCCTTGGGTCTTAACGATCATCCGCCTATAAAGACCTATATATGAAAGAGGCAAAATAGGCCTTAAATGAACTGCTCAACTACTCTACAGCTTACATAGCGACAATGTTGGTTCATCAAGACATTTTCTGCAAACTTGAAATCATATTCTTTACACATGCACTACACAATTGCAATTACTAAGGATGTATTGCTTGTTGAAAAAGCAAACTACAGGCCCAATATCAAGACCATTGGCCTTTTGGTTATTGAGAGTTATTAAGCATTTCAACACTTTTGACCCCTATAATCTTGAAAGTTGGTCCAATATCAGCACCCTGGGTCTTTTGGTTATTGAGAAGAAGTCATTTAAACATTTGAACACATTTGAAACCTGTGACCTTGAAAGTGGGTCAATGTCATTCGTATCAACAAAGTTGGTAGCCCTACATCCTAAACAGGGTAGGCTTCTGTAGGCACTATTTTGATAACCATTACACATCAAGTTATTTTTTGAAGTTTAAACAGCAATTTTATTGCGTTTTAATTTCACAACCTTTACACATTTCACTTACTTTAAATAGTACAGCTTTTTCAGGAATAATTCCACACACTTTTACATCAGGATCTAGTGGAAGAGGGAGTGGTTCAAAGTCAGAAAAATTTATCTTACATACTTCAGAGTCCTGCAGTAAGGCTTGAAGTCGCTCAATCTGTAAGCAAAATGTAAATTGTGTTTTATCCTTACAAAGACCCTGGCATTTTCAAAGCAATTAGGTACAACATATATTCCGTGATGGAAATATAATCAAATCTGTTTGCAACAAGAGTCAATGTTTAATATAGATATCTCCTACACATAAACTGATAATGTACATTAAAATGTTCATGGAAATATATACTAAACTCAAACTTGGAACAAACAAGATGTATCTTTGAAGGAAAGCAAAAAAAATCCTATTAATGATTTTAACCACTTATTTTCTAAGTACCTTTATTTACAATTTCATTCCATCCTCAAATATAGCAAAATAAAAAGCCCTCAAAAATAACAGCGTTTATCATACACATGTAATACTGATTGAACATGTTGATGAAGCACCAACAAGAAAATACATTCCAGATCTTAGAGTAAGTTGAGTAGATTATCAAAACTCAGCTCACCTTTTTCTTCCTGTTTCCACTCTCCCTGCTAACCATTTTTACCAGGTCAACAAGTTTATCTATAAACATTTGTTGCCTAGAAATAGTTGCTCGTCTCAACCGCGAGTCTGGTCCACCCTGTACAACAACAACATCAAATTTCTCATTCTAAGTTCACTGGTGATTCAGTTGTTATATTCCCCTTAAAGTTCCACTACAGTTAGATTGATGATGATGAAAGTTTTAGATGTGATTCTTGTGGCTGAAAGCCAAATATTCCAGCAATAAGCCCAGGGGGCTTCTAGCTTCTAGCTGAAGAATGTGTGGGTGGGCTTTATACTGGGCAATTGATGATTATCATAGTTATAGTTATGTTTCTAGTAGCTGAAAATTTATATTCAGCAAAATTTCATCTGTCAATCAAAATCTCAGAAGATGTTTATTTGTAAACAATGTTTCCAATGGATAGACACGTATTTCAACTACCAGTATTGTAAAATCCTATATTTTCACGGGATTCAATTTTCATGGTTTTTCAAAAAAAAAAAAAGCAAAAAAACACCACTTTTTTGTGGACATTTCATTTTGTAGATAAATATAGAAATATAGTCTTATAAACCTACATTAATTTATACAGTTTACACACCCCCAAAATTAACAAATAAAATAATTGCCCAGAAAAATTAAGTGTTTTACAGTATACAGTAGTCTAGAAAACCAAACAGTAGAGTGAGTGGGATGAAGGACCAAAGTCATGTGTAGGAAATTTTATCTTGGAAGCAGGATATCATTAACAGAATAGAATATTTGATTAATGTATTCTATCCCTGAACATATCGAAAAAAATTCAGGCATACATAATTAGGTGTATATAATAAGTATACACCAAATTCTTCATCTTACCTTAAAGAGTGCCTGGCTGAAACGTTTCATTACAAAATGATACATCTCGGTGACTTTTTGGTTTTTAGCCGAGCTATCTGAGTCTATACTCTCCACTGACAAGAACCTGTGGTTGATGTAGAAATTAAAGATAAACAGTGTAGAATAGCAAAACTGTGTATGACAAAGAAAAGTTACAAGACTTTGAACTTTCCATCAACAGATTTCATTCGAATGTTAACCACTAATGATATCTAACAGCACAAAGTTTCACAAATGTTAAATCTTAATTCATCAAGTCCTTATCTGGTTTAGGGGAAATATCTACTTCCTGTCCTGACACAGTATCCTCACAAAATATTCATCACTGAAAGTGATTCTTTAGGGATATAAAAGCCATATTTGGAGGGTTTATCAAGGGATGTCATACTCACAAGAGTGATGTCATTTACAGTCCTTTGAATGACACTTCATTCCAGTTAGTATAATGTTTTTTTCACTTTGTTTTAAAAGAAATGACATATCTCAGTATAACTAATCCTACTGATAATTGAACTTGACTTGTCATATCTAGTATCATGTAAGACACATAATTATGCTGAACACGAGGGAAACATTCACTCTGTGTATTTCTCACTCTCACATAAAACTGTTAAGTCTTTCCAAGAGTTAAATGTACATGTAGTTCAGCTTTGCAATGTCCTATGATAGCCCACCTTTTGTTTTCAACCAATTGGGGTAAAACAGTAGCATTTTCCACCAAAACGTGTTTAGTCAGATAAAATTTTTAGAATTTTGGTTAAAAAAGGGAAAATACAATAAAATTTCTATGTTGGCCTCAAAATCCCTCAGAAAGTTAAACTGAGATTTGAGTAACAGTCGTAAGGATATTTGTTTCCATTACTATGAGGTCAGTACAGTAAGTATTCCTGTAGACAACATCATTATTCTTACCAGTAGAAAAAGTTAGCCAGATTTGAGTTGTTACATGCCCGTGATATCAGAAACGTTGCTAGGTCCATCTGAAACAGGCAAGAATTGATCATCATAATTTGGAACTTCTCCAAACCTACCATGCATGGGACATGAACATTTGCTTGGTTCAGGGAGGGTTTGGTTTGCAAAAATGAATGAAGTTGACCAGTCAAGACTAGGACATCAATGATCTGAATCTGTTTTGTACACCATTAGGTTTGTGTATACACTGTATATGTAAAAATGGAAAGAACAAAAACAACATCACAGAGTAAAGATATTTCAATGAAGTGAAAGTTAATCATGTATTTGCGAAAATGTCTGAAGAGGTAAGTTTGCAAAATAAAGAATTCCCAAAATCTTTCTTAGTTACAGTGTAGAAAGAACATATAAACAAAAAACAACAAAAAAGACTTTAAATAAAACAACGAAGTGTAAAGATGCTTTGGGGAATCCTTAAAACATTTTACACTCGAAATGATGCCTAAGGTGTAGGCATTGGTAGAATGGTAGAAAGTTCCCACAAATACTTCATGTTGTATAGAATATTATATCTAGTTAATTCTTGGATTTTTGTTAAACATAAGTAAGAACTCACCTCTTTTTCTAGCTTAGCTTCTGGACTTTCCTCTGACTTTGGTGAAATGCCTCCCAGTGCATCTAGAATAGAGTCGTGAGAGGAGGCCCGAGACAACATACTCACAGACCTAAGGAAACAGTATTAGGCTACTGATAATTTATACCATTACCGTACAGCGTGTAACTTGTGCAGTCTACACATTTTCATAGCTTTCCTAACTGCAGTGATTGAACAACCTGAGTAAAGAAACTTATTTCATATGCTAAACACAAAACTTAATCAAATTCAACATCACCATAACTTCAGTGGATGTAAATGGAATTTCCCGGATTTCCTTAAGTGGTTTTTTTCTACAACCTAATCTTTTAGAATTGCTAAAATACATGTACAGGCAATTCACTTGACCTTCGACATTTAGCATTCAAATGACCCTTGATAAATAGCATTTGGTTGACCCCTGACATTTGGCATTCAGTTGACCCTTGACATCTGGCATTCAGTTAACCCTTGATGTTTTACATTCAGTTTAACTTTAATATTTGACATTCCGTTGACCATTGACATTTGGCATCCAGTTGACCCTTGACATCTGGCATTCAGTTGACCCTTGATTTTGAAATTCAGTTGACCTTGACATTTGAAATTCAGTTGACCCTTGACATTTGGTATTCAACTGAATCTTGACACCTGCCATTCAGTTGACCCTTGATATTTGATGTGATCCATGACATTTGGCTGAGTTAAAACATATATGAAAAAGATGCACCCCTTCCAATCCAAGAGACAAAACTTATTTTTAGGGTCAAATCTTACTCTCTAAAATCTGCTGAATGTTCTTATTACTTATGATACTGAAAGCTCATGTGGTTGTTCTGACGAGAAAAGCTGACAATACGATAAAATACCTGTCCTTATCAGGGTAAAGCATGCCAGTATCAGCTGTACTGATAGAATCCCGTCGTGAACTCAAGTTATCCACACCATTCTTGATCTCCTCAAAATTCTCATATTTTAATGCTTGAACTAGCTGGAGGAAGTAGAGCAGCAAGTCCTGTAGACAAATATAATCAGACATGCTGACAATGACAGGTGCTCCTAAACTGTTTAATTAGATATAAAACTGTTGAGTAATTAGAGAACTCTGACAGTCCTTTCTTTTATTCTAACAAGGATGATCATTACTTTCACCAAGGAAAAGGTTTACAAAGGCTTGAAAGAGATGAAAATACATGTCTACCAGATCAACAAAGTTCAAACACTGAGAAATAAGCTGGAGCTCCTGACTAAGAATTAGCACTACCACCCACAGAAGAGAGGGGGTAAGGTAACCACCATACTTGGCTTAAATAAAAAATTTTATTTATAATTTACTCGCATCTCGTCAAATCAAGTTTTTTCTATATATATATATATATATATTTATACATATCATTCAATTGAATGAATCCCCTGACACCAGTTGTGTATGTTAACTTTATGAAGTAATTCTGTTCTATAACACCATGTCCTATACACAGCAGTGTTTTAGTGTTACCTCATCATCAGCCTGTCTCAGCCTGATAAATATTTCTGTTCTAATATACTGAGTTCTATTAAATCAGTTCCAAACACAATTTACTTCAGTGTTTTAGTGTTACCTCATCATCAGCTTGTCTCAGTCTGGACACAGCATACTTTCTCACTGTCGGGTGTTGATACACAGGTGACAGGAGTTCTAATGCGTCCTCAGCATCTATCGGGCTCCAGCGACTGAGTAGTTCAAGTGCCTGTCGCACTTCAAGGTGAAGCTTCCAGTTGACACACTTAAGGAATTTTGTCAGGGCCTGTAAATACAGGTAACAACAACCTGAACATAATCCACAGGTAACATGATAGGGCCTACACATAATATAGATAACAGAACAGGGCCTAGACATACCACAGTCAACATAACAGGGTCTACACATACCACAGTCAACATAACAAGGCATACACATACCACAGTCAACATAACAGGGCCTACACATACCACAGTCAACATAACAGGGCCTACACACACCACAGTCAGCATAACAGGGCCTACACATACCACAGTCAACATAACAGGGCCTACACATACCACAGTCAACATTACAGGGCCTACACATACCACAGTCAACATAACAGGGCCTACACATACCACAGTCAACATAACAGGGCCTACACATACAACAGTCAACATAACAGGGCCTACACATAATGCAAGTAACATAACAGGGCCTACACATACCACAGTCAACATAACAGGGCCTACACATACCACAGTCAACATAACAGGGCCTACACATAATGCAAGTAACAGAACAGGGCCTAGACATAACACAAGTAACATAACAGGGCCTACATATACCAAAGGTATCTCATAACTAGGCCTACAAATTAACATAGGTAACATAACAAGGCCTACACATACCACAGTCAACATAACAGGGCCTACACATACCACAGTCAACATAACAGGGCCTACACATACCACAGTCAACATAACAAGGCCTACACATACCACAGTCAACATTACAGGGCCTACACATACCACAGTCAACATAACAAGGCCTACACATACCACAGTCAACATTACAGGGCCTACACATACCACAGTCAACATAATAGGGCCTACACATAATGCAAGTAACATAACAGTACCTACACTTAACACAGGTAATATTAATAAACTTTATTTATTTTACAACAATTGGGAAGTATGTTTTCCCAACTTATAATAATCACTCTTGTTGGCTTGGATGGAAGCATGTGAGGGGTCTTATTCTGCAAATCGAACCCTGGACTACTAGGTGAAAGGCAAGTGCGTTACCACTGCGCCACTTAACCACCATATACACAGGTATCATAATAGGGTCTATTAATAATAAAAGTAAAATAACATGGCCTACATATAACAAGGGAACATAACATGAACTATATATAACACAACAGCATAACATGGCCTACACATAACACAGGTATCATAACACGGTCTTTATATTACAAAGGTAACATAACAGGGCCTACACATAACACAGGTATTGTAAAATAACCTACATATAACAAATGTTACATATCATGGTCTATACATAACACAGGCAGCATAACATGGCCTACACATAACACAGGTATCATAACAGGGCCTATATATAACGAAGGTAACATAACAGGGCCTACACATAACACAACAACATAACATGGCCTTTATATAACACAGGTAACATAACAGGGCCTATATATAACACAGGTAACATAACAGGGCCTATACATAACACAATAGCATAACATGGCCTACACATAACACAGGTATCATAACATAGCCTATATATAACGAAGGTAACATAACAGGGCCTACACATAACACAACAGCATAACATGGCCTTTATATAACACAGGTAACATAACAGGGCCTATATATAACACAGGTAACATAACAGGGCCTATACATAACACAACAGCATAGCATGGCCTACACATAACACAGGTATCATAACATGGCCTATATATAATGAAGGTAACATAACAGGGCCTACACATAACACAACAGCATAATATGGCCTTTATATAACACAGGTAACATAACAGGGCCTATATATAACACAGGTAACATAACAGGGCCTATACATAACACAACAGCATAGCATGGCCTACACATAACACAGGTATCATAACATGGCCTATATATAATGAAGGTAACATAACAGGGCCTACACATAACACAACAGCAGAATATGGCCTTTATATAACACAGGTAACATAACAGGGCCTATATATAACACAGGTAACATAACAGGGCCTATACATAACACAACAGCATAGCATGGCCTACACATAACACAGGTATCATAACATGGCCTATATATAATGAAGGTAACATAACAGGGCCTACACATAACACAACAGCATAACATGGCCTTTATATAACACAGGTAACATAACAGGGCCTATATATAACACAGGTAACATAACAGGGCCTATATATAACACAACAGCATAAAAGGGTATAAACATCATAAAAGTATCATAAATTGGTCTATACATAATTCAGTTGTTGTAACATGGCCTACTGATAACACAAGTATAAATAGCATCTTTCAGTTACTCACCTTTTTCTGGCTACAGAGGTAGAAACGAAACTTCCATATAAGGTCTTGTTCTTCTGATGTCAAAGGTTTGAAAGGAGGGTAAGTAGCAATGGCCTGTAAAATGAGATGATAAATGTACTTTGTTAAATCTATTAAACATTTACATGATAAGTGTACCATTGGACCAAGAAGACAGTTTTGGTCAATTTACAGATTGGATAAATGAAACATACATTTAGGAGATCTCTTGTCTTCGCATCTGGTTTCATATCTCTGTCTGTTGGTCCACTTCGTAAACTTCTGGCAAGCTTATGATGTTTGCTCTCCACAAGGTTTTCCTGTACATAAAGACGTTACAAATAATTCATAAAAGCTTTGTCACACCACCATTGTCAGAATACACCTGCCACATTTACTTTTGCTGTATTCCGCAGTGACAGAAAACAGCTGTATTTTAGCATATGCAGTAAATTGACAGAGTTACTCCCTGAATATTATGTTTAAAAATATAAATAGTTGTTGAAATAATCAAAAGCATGTATTATATTTATCCTGCACTATTGATTGAAAATCAGACCATTGAAACTTAAAAAAGTTTTGTTGTTCAAACTGTGTAAGTTGATTTATGAAAATTCATAAAATCACTGTTATATCCGATGATGTTTGGAACTATGTTTCAGTGCAGTGCAATTATTCAGGCAAAATTCAGAGCAACATTATTGTCAGGTAAACACAGTTTGAACAACAAAACTTTTTAAGTTTCAATGGTCTGATTTTCAATCAATAGTGCAGGATAAATAGAATACGTGATCAGAGTCTTAAAATAGTAGTTGTATTTCTCTGTACAGAGGCTCGCCACTTTTGTCTTTCTTCACCCTCACCAATCTACAGCTTACATTTTAAGACACGGACCATGTATTCTCTATACGTACTGAATACAAGCATACATGTATATATGATTAAATACATATGATGTAAACTTTATACAGAAATGAGTATACTAATCTATGTACAACATACATCAATATACAGTCAAACCTTGTAATCTCAAACTTTCATAACTCAAAGACCTCGTCCTTTAATTCAAAGTATTCCGTCGGTCTAGGCCTAATTTCACACTAAACATTTGAACTCATTTAAACTGAATAGTCGGATAACTTAAGGTTTTTCCTTGATCCTGCCAACTTCAAGATAATCAGGTTCGACTGTACATAAACATATATACAGTAAAATATATTCCCAACACCACTGAGCTGGTAAAAGAAAGGCAGATAAAAGCAATTAGAACAATGATAATCAAGCTAAATCAATTAAAACCCATATCAACAAATGACAGATCATAACAAATTAAAAACATCAAATAGTTCTGAGAAAGTCCTTACCGCCAGTATTTCTGGGTCTGGTATGGTGACTACGTCTGCATGTGTTCTGTAGTTAAATGGTTCATCACCATCCTACAAAATATAATCTTACCTTTGAATTTATCTTTTCATAAACAAAATCTTTAGATTCATCACATGCTGATAATTTCCTTGTAATTTGATGCTACATCAATTTGATTTCAACAAAATTGTACAAGTGATGTTAAAGACTGGCATTTCAGACAAACTTATCATGTGGTATCTTTTGACCGATGGCTAATAATCATCAGGTAAGGCAATAAAGGTTACACTCACATGCTTTTACTAAATCACATGTCTGGGACACTAGGACACCTGTAGTCATAGTGCTTCAAATACAACAAATTACCCTAAACCTTTCTTCATACAATTGTAAGCCTGAATGCTGAATGATATCTCCCATAATCAAGAAGTATACAACCATCTTGGATTTGGGGTAGAAATTCAATTTGGCAGCCAGAATTAACTTCGACCTGATGACCTAGCTTGGCCAGCGTGTTTCCTGTTTGGTTGTAAACAACTGATCTTCATACAGTCATCCTCATAACAAAATATGAACCAGTCAAAAGATATCAAATTTGACCTTGACTTCTGACTAGATTGACCTACAACCTAATGACCTTAAGCCTTGATTTGATAACTATGAATCTGAGAAAGTGCTTCTTACCGATAAGTGGCAGGTAAGTAACTAGTAAGTGAAAAATTCATGTATATTTATATTTATTTCGGATACTCCAGTGGTTACGCTCAATATCACTCTGTGCACCACTGGAACACTTCAAAATTGAAGGCACTCACAAGGTAATTTGACTGGTCTAGTGCAAGTGTCAGCAGAAAAAACTGACCAATCACAGACTGATATGCTCCTTTGAAGATTTCAAAGAGCGACACCAAACTTGAAAGCCAGTGCAACATACTACATGTATTATACCACCTCCAGATTCATTTGATATATGTTTTGTCTTACCCACAAGATGGCCATGAAATGTTCAAGGGGTGCAGAGAGCAATAGTGAGTGTCACCCCAGGAGTAATGACCTATATTACACAACACTATGTACAGTACAGGTAACTTAGATGATGTGATACAGTAGAACAAGATATACCTTTTCAAAGTAGATGACAGTATACTCCATCTCTTCATAGTGTATAAAGGGAAACTCAATCATTAGGTACATAAAGTTAGAGTCTCGTTTCTGTTTCTCATTAACCATCTCAATTTCCCTGAAGGTCAGTCGATCCAGCCAATCAACTTTTAACATATGGCCATCTCTATGTTTCTTACTCAGCTGAAATGTACAGGTTGAATCATTAGAATGTGTTTTTATTTAAAGGCATCACAATTTGATTAAATAATTTTACAAGCAATAATACAAACTTTCAGGGCAGTTGGTAGTTTAGTGAATGTTTTAAGCAAACAAAGGACTGGTCCAATATTAAAAGAATATGGAAGTGGGAAATAAATCCATGTTTTATTTAAAGAATGACTCTGATTATGAGCAGTGAACAACTTAAGGTAGCAATACACAGTTTCTCAGTGTGGCCATGGGCAATATTTTTTGTTCATTAGATTACCCCATCATGTGTTATGCATCATTCTTACATAACTTTACCTCGTCAAAATAGACTAGATCTCACAAACCATCATTCTAAAACCTAACGTAAACATTCATGTGACCTTGGTACCTTAGCTAGGCGACTCATCTGATCGTTTTTATCCTTGGTTTTCCCTGGTGTACTGGAGTTGTACTGCGGGTCAGACTCGACTTTAGGCCATACTTTTAGATCATGCATACCTTGCCGGAATGTTCTAAAAAAATAAACATAGCTGATATTTAGTTCGCTAGTGTATTGCAGAGTTAGACCCCTAACATCCCTGACAAGTCCTAGAAAGAGGAAACAGCTGTACGACACAGTTTAATTCATCGTTTTACTCTACTGTGTCTAATTCTAAATTTGTATGGAATAGTGCTATTGAATTTGCTATTCTCTTGTGTGTCTTTTATCACCTTGGCTAATGAATATACACTTTTAATGTACATACCATTACAATAACCCTTTATGATGTATTGAATATTTCAAATGTAAATTTGGGTGGTCGAGTCAGTGATGCATTGGTAACCCATTAACCTATCACTTAGATGTCCGGTGACTAGTTCCTCAATCAGACATGAAAAGACATGAGGCCATTTGTTTATCCATTTGGGTTTTTTTATAATTGGTACTCCAGTTTCATCCCATAGTAAAACCTCTCATATGCTTTGTTCGCTTCCAATTTACATGTATATATATATCACAAGGGTAATAGACATTGCTACATGTATTTCTATTGTTTGTTAATACAGTTAAGATTTTAAAAGCCAATCTTACAGATTTCAAGATGCTCCATGTTTTAATACAGGGGTAAAGAAATGAATTTGTAAAAAATACAAAACTGCAATATAGTCTAACACTTTCATCACACAAACAACAATCATCAATCACAAACAAAGAGAAACTTATTAAAGTAATACCCTCTTTTTCCAAACAGTGGTAGAGTTGTCCCCCCTACTGGGATGGTCTTGTCAGGGCCATAGATGTCCCATATGGTTAAAGCCAGAACAGCATTTCTTGGCAGGTCGTTATATTTCACAGGTAGTACCAGCCACTCGTTCCAACTATAAGTAATGTACATCAATATATGTATAGACCTTTTGTAATGTATAACCTAGTACAATGGGCAAATCTAAAATCACTTTGGTATTTGTGGTGACTTCTTTGAAAGACATAAGACTTGGTCGATATTTTTTATGTTATCAAAATTATAGATCTTTCAATAATGATAAAACATTCTATCAGTATTTTTTAACTGATCTTCATTTTACTTCACACACACAAGATACACTTGTACGTTGTAATAGACTAATTAAGTATTGACACTATTTTCAATATTTTATAGTGACTTAGTATAATTAATTTAATAATAAACATATATAGGTCAGCTTGAACATAGACTTACTTCCAACGTGTACTGAAGGCCTTGTAGGATGTACTGACTGCAAGGGACAGTGGTCGGCCATCTGAGAAAATCTGACATGTTACATAGAGATCTGCACATCCTTCCGTGTAAGCACCAGAAAACTTCAACATGGAGTCCTCCAGCAACTCTGTGTAACTTGGTCGTTCTCTCTCCCCCTCAAGGGTTCCACTTACATAACACATCAAGAGGCTTATGAATATAGTGATTCATGACAATAGAACTAACATTTTCACGTTTTCTGATTAAGTATATTATTCTGTTAAGATATTTTTTTTTCAGAATATAGTTCCTTAGAAAAAGAGCTAAATAAGAAATAGTTGGGGTTTCCTTTGCATATTTCTCATAGAACTAGAGGGCATCCCAGCCTCCCTTTTATGAGTGCAGAACATTTGGCAATTATGCAATATATTGTCACTTTATATGTAAAATATCAATAAAGGTGAAACAGTTTATTCAAAATCTTTTACTTTTAGATGTTACAGGCATCATCATGTCACCTTGACCACAATTCTTTGTTAGTGTACACAAGCTAGGACGTATTTCTCTCTAACCAAATGTATCCTTTTAAGTAAGGGTCCCGGGGGAGGATGAGGGTATTAATTCCCTGTCATCACAATGGTATGATGTCAAAGCAACAATTTATTGACATCATACATCAACAATGTGATAAATGCAACATTACATGTATAAATGTCCAAAAGGGGAGAAAGATAATTTACCTCCTTGAGAGTGAGATACTGTGATCTCCAATAAATTACCCCTCATGCTGCAATCACCCTACACACCGGTTCGTGTAAGTCAAATGTATCTAAGCAACAACTGGGTGTAAGATTCCTTTTTTTCTGATGAGTTGAATGTTGAGTAAAATTTTAAACATCTAGATCTATAAATTCAACATCGAAAATGATACTAACCATAAAATATCTATAGCGATTACATTATATCTCCTAGTCTACAACATCCATGGAGTGAGACACTGTCCATTAACAAAGAAATGACCGATAGGATGCAAATTTATCTATAATATAAGCCTAAGTAGGATGTGGTGTAAGCTTCCATATCTAAAGTTATATTATCGTAAACAACCAGTGATTATTTTGATCAGCTGATCATTTTTGACATGACAACTTACATTTTGATTTCCACATTTACGTCGAGATCACAACTATAAACATAGTTGAAACGATCAGTCATGCCTGACATATTGTTCATTTAAATAATGATGCGTTATATAGAACGTAGGCACTCGTGTGTGGTACTAAACTACGTTTGTTTTCATTTTCAGCTTTCATCCTCCCATACGTCAAGGGAGATAATGCCTAACCAGTGCAGAGTAAAATCTAGTACCCCCATTGTTAGTTCCGGCTATATTTATTTCTTCCGTTCTTTCATTATGCTAATATTGACAAGTTTTGATGTATGTCGATGACTTGGATATCACTTTATGCATTTATCATTGATTTTACACATGGATAAAAAAATCTGTTTGTATTTGGATAAATAAACCGGTATTTTTTCTAACCGGAAGTCACCTGTCAGATGTCACATGAACTGTAAACAGAAGAAGATCAAGAGATGAGCTCAGCTTCTACGCACATCTGCGTAGAAGTTTATCACAGAAAATGGGAAATAAAATAACAACATTCAGCGAGGAACAGCTGGAAGCTTATCAGGTATACGGCATTTGTTGATATTCTGATTTTACCAGTTTTGTGGCATACTTGATTGTCACTGTACATTGTAATTGTGATGTTCTAGTGATTGAAATTGTGAATCTGTTAATTTGTACTTGTTTAAATGTCATTTGGTCTGAAGGTAACCTCTATCAAGTAAGCATAAATGTCAGAACGAGTGTTAAAACTGATACCAAATACTTCGTCAATGACAATTCTTGGCAACACGTGAACCTCTACTGAAATACTTAAAATGGTATGACTATATATGAACATGTCAACTTATTTATGTTACCTACAATATGTAATATCGTGTATTTGTGTGAGTTATGATAACAATTAAATTCATGGATCATGGATGTAACATTTTGGCATGACTTTCTGTTATCTATTGCAGGATTGTACATTTTTCACAAGAAAAGAGATTCTAAGGTTTGTATGCTAATATATAACCAAAAGGAATCTTACAAGATTCTTGTGTTGTTGAATTGAGAAGTTCAGTCAGTAGGACAGCAGATTTGCTATAGGTTTCTCTAGTCTATAATAAATGAATTTTTGGTTAAAGTTGTTTTGTTTTGTCCTCCTTTGCAGGTCACAGTTGTTAAATGTACTTAATTATAATTGTTCTTTCCTTTTTTATCATAGAATTTTCCGACGTTTCCAGGGACTTTACCCTGAACATGTACCTCTTGACATGAAAAGAGGCCAGACTTCATTCATCAAGATTCCTCTACATGAACTTGAAAAAATGCCAGAACTGAAGGTTGTACAATGTAAATTTACAGAATATGATATATATGATTGCTGAAAAAAATACATAGCCGTGTTTCTAGATATTTTACTTAAACTCTGAATATTGTACAAGCTTAAGGAAAAGATACTTCTTCATAACCCTACAACATATAGATTTTTATTCTGTATACTTATAAATTACATGCTATCTTGATATACTTTGATTCCATGTAGCAGCAATATAAGAAAGGAAGGATATGAAAGATTAACATCACCTCAGAATTTCTTGGTTCATTGATAACGCTTAGCATAAAACTTGTAGCAAATTGTAGCTCTATTTTTGTTATAACCATTTGATATTCCAGAAAGAGCTCTGATTGTAACACTGGTGTCATTCAGTGAGCAAAACCTCACAAGATTGTTTTTCCTCCAATATTTTCAGGAGAATCCTTTTAGACAGCGACTGTGTCAGGTGTTTTCTGAGGATGGATCTGGAGATATGTCATTTGATGATTTTCTTGATATGTTTTCTGTGTTGTCTGAGGCTGCACCTAGAGACATCAAAACTGTGTATGCCTTCAAGATGTATGGTAATGACTTTGACTTAACAATTGACAACAAAAATCATAAAAGAACAAATACAGTACATTGTGAAAGTGGTTGTTAAAAAGTACCTCTTGTAAATTAGCAATATCTGGGAAAAGCCTTTATTGCTTTGACTATTGTGGAAATAATTCTGCATTCATGAAAGTGTCAAGTGGTAGATTTTTGTTGTTACAGTACAAGTAACCCATTATTAATGACACTAGAATTACGTTTGACAAATGATTTTTGTGAAGTTGTTATTTACTGTTTTTGAGTTATTTTCCCTGTCTTTGTGTTATTTTCCCTGTGATATTTTCCCTGTGTAATTTTCCCTGTGTTATTGTCCCTGTGATATTTTCCCGTGTTAATGTCCCTGTGATATTTTCCCTGTGTTATTTTCCCTGTGTTATTTTCCCTAATTTTTCCCTGTGTTATTTTCCCTTATTGTCCCTGTGTTATTTTCCCTGTGATATTTTCCCTGTGTTATTTTCCCTGTCCCTGCGTTATTTTCCCTGTGTTAATTTCCCTGTGTTATTTTCCCTTATTTTCCCTGTGTTATTTTCTCTGTGATATTTTCCCTGTGTTATTGTCCCTGTGTTATTTTCTCTGTGATATTTTCCCTGTGTTATTTTGTCTGTGCTATTTTCCCTGTGTTATTGTCCCTGTGTTATTGTCTCTGTGTTATTTTCTCTGTGATATTTTCCCTGTGTTATTTTCCCTGTGTTATTTTCCCTGTGATTTTTCCCTGTGTTATTTTCCCTGTGTTATTTTCCCTGTGTTATTTTCCCTGTGTTATTTTCCCTGTGTTATTTTGTCCGTGCTATTTTCCCTGTGTTATTGTCCCTGTGTTATTTTCCCTGTGATATATTCCCTGTGTTATTGTCCCTGTGTTATTTTGTCCCTGTGTTATTTTCCCTGTGTTATTGTCCCTGTGTTATTTTCCCTGTGTTATTGTCCCTGTGTTATTTTCTCTGTTATATTTTCCCTGTGTTATTTTCCCTTATTTTCCCTGTGTAATTTTCCCTGTGTTATTTTCCCTGTGATTTTTCCCTGTGTTATTTTCCCTGTGTTATTTTCCCTGTGTTATTTTCCCTGTGTTATTTTCCCTGTGTTATTGTCCCTGTGTTATTGTCCCTGTGTTATTTTCCCTGTGTTATTTTTTCCGTGCTATTTTCCCTATGTTATTGTCCCTGTGTTATTTTCCCTGTGTTATTTTCCCTGTGTTATTTTCCCTGTCTTTGTGTTATTTTCTCTGTGATATTTTCCCTGTGTTATTTTCCCTGTGTTATTGTCCCTGTGTTATTTTCCCTGTGTTATTTTCCCTGTCCCTGCGTTATTTTCCCTGTGTTATTTTCCCTGTGATATATTCCCTGTGTTATTGTCCCTGTGTTATTTTGTCCGTGCTATTTTCCCTGTGTTATTGTCCCTGTGTTATTTTCCCTGTGTTATTTTCCCTGTGTTATTTTCCCTGTGTTATTTTCCCTGTGTTATCCCTGTGTTTTGTCCCTGTGTTATTTTCCCTGTGTTATTTTCCCTGTGTTATTTTCCCTGTGTTATTTTCCCTGTGTTATTTTCCTTGTGTTATTTTCCCTGTGTTATTTTCCCTGTGTTATTTTACCTGTGTTATTTTCCCTGTGTTATTTTCCCTGTGTTATTGTCCCTGTGTTATTTTCCCTGTGTTATTTTGTCCGTGCTATTTTCCCTGTGTTATTGTCCCTGTGTTATTTTCCCTGTGTTATTGTCCCTGTGTTATTGTCCCTGTGTTATTTTCCCTGTGTTATTTTCCCTGTGATATATTCCCTGTGTTATTGTCCCTGTGTTATTTTCCCTGTGATATATTCCCTGTGTTATTGTCCCTGTGTTATTTTCCCTGTGTTATTTTGTCCGTGCTATTTTCCCTGTGTTATTGTCCCTGTGTTATTTTCCCTGTGTTATTTTCCCTGTGTTATTTTCCCTTATTTTCCCTGTGTAATTTTCCCTGTGTTATTTTCCCTGTTTTTGTGTTATTTTCTCTGTGATATTTTCCCTGTGATATTTTCCCTGTGTTATTTTCCCTGTGATATTTTCCCTGTGTTATTTTCTCTGTGATATTTTCCCTGTGTTATTTTCCCTGTGATTTTTCCCTGTGTTATTTTCCCTGTGTTATTTTCCCTTATTTTCCCTGTGTTATTTTCTCTGTGATATTTTCCCTGTGTTATTGTCCCTGTGTTATTTTCTCTGTGATATTTTCCCTGTGTTATTGTCCCTGCATTATTTTCCCTGTGATATTTTCCCTGTGTTATTTTGTCTGTGCTATTTTCCCTGTGTTATTTTACCTGTGATATTTTCCCTGTGTTATTTTCCCTGTGTTATTTTCCCTGTGTTATTTTCCCTGTGTTATTGTCCCTGTGTTATTTTCCCTGTTATTTTGTCCGTGCTATTTTCCCTGTGTTATTTTCCCTGTGTTATTTTCCCTGTGTTATTGTCCTTGTGTTATTGTCCCTGTGTTATTTCCCCTGTGTTATTTTGTCCGTGCTGTTTTCCCTGTGTTATTTTCCCTGTGTTATTTTGTCCGTGCTATTTTCCCTGTGTTATTTTCCCTGTGTTATTTTCCCTGTGTTATTTTCCCTGTGTTATTTTCCCTGTGATATTTTCCCTGTGATATTTTCCCTGTGTTATTGTCCCTGTGTTATTGTCCCTGTGTTATTTTCCCTGTGTTATTGTCCCTGTGTTATTGTCCCTGTGTTATTTTCCCTGTGTTATTTTCCCTGTGTTATTGTCCCTGTGTTATTTTCCCTGTGTTATTTTCCCTGTGTTATTGTCCCTGTGTTATTTTCCCTGTGTTATTTTCCCTGTGTTATTTTCCCTGTGTTATTTTCCCTGTGTTATTTTCCCTGTGTTATTTTCCCTGTGTTATTTTCCCTGTGTTATTTTCCCTGTGTTATTTTCCCTGTGTTATTTTCCCTGTGTTATTTCCCTGTGTTATTTTCCTGTGTGTTATTTTCCCTGTGTTATTGTCCCTGTGTTATTTTCTCTGTGTTATTTTCCCTGTGTTATTTTCCTTGTGTTATTTTCCCTGTGTTATTTTCCCTAATTTTTCCCTGTGTTATTTTCCCTTATTTTCCCTGTGTAATTTTCCCTGTGTTATTTTCCCTGTCTTTGTGTTATTTTCTCTGTGTTATTTTCCCTGTGTTATTTTCCCTGTGTTATTGTCCCTGTGTTATTGTCTCTGTGTTATTTTCCCTGTGTTATTTTCCCTGTGATTTTTCCCTGTGTTATTTTCCCTGTGATATTTTCCCTGTGTTATTTTCCCTGTGATATATTCCCTGTGTTATTGTCCCTGTGTTATTTTCTCTGTGTTATTTTCCCTGTGTTATTTTCCCTGTGTTATTGTCCCTGTGTTATTGTCTCTGTGTTATTTTCTCTGTGATATTTTCCCTGTGTTATTGTCTCTGTGTTATTGTCTCTGTGTTATTTTCCCTGTGATTTTTCCCTGTGTTATTTTCCCTGTGATATATTCCCTGTGTTATTGTCCCTGTGTTATTTTCCCTGTGTTATTCTGTCCGTGCTAATTTCCCTGTGTTATTGTCCCTGTGTTATTTTCCCTGTGTTATTTTCCCTGTGTTATTTTCCCTGTGTTATTTTCCCTGTGTTATTTTCCCTGTTTTTGTGTTATTTTCTCTGTGATATTTTCCCTGTGTTATTTTCCCTGTCCCTGCGTTATTTTCCCTGTGTTAATTTCCCTGTGTTATTTTCCCTTATTTTCCCTGTGTTATTTTCTCTGTGATATTTTCCCTGTGTTATTGTCCCTGTGTTATTGTCCCTGTGTTATTTTTCCTGTGTTATTTTCCCTGTGATATATTCCCTGTGTTATTGTCCCTGTGTTATTTTCCCTGTGTTATTTTGTCCGTGCTGTTTTCCCTGTGTTATTGTCCCTGTGTTATTGTCCCTGTGTTATTTTCCCTGTGTTATTTTTTCCGTGCTATTTTCCCTATGTTATTGTCCCTGTGTTATTTTCCCTGTGTTATTTTCCCTGTGATATATTCCCTGTGTTATTGTCCCTGTGTTATTTTGTCCGTGCTATTTTCCCTGTGTTATTGTCCCTGTGTTATTTTCCCTGTGTTATTTTCCCTGTGTTATTTTTCTGTGTTATTGTCCCTATTTTCCCTGTGTTATTTTCCCTGTGTTATTTTCCCTGTGTTATTTTCCCTGTGTTATTTTCCCTGTGTTATTATTTTCCCTGTGTTATTTTCCCTGTGTTATGTTTTATTTTCCCTGTGTTATTTCCCTGTGTTGTGTTTCCCTGTGTTATTTTCCTGTGTTATTTTCCCTGCGTTATTTTCCCTGTGTTAATTTCCCTGTGTTATTTTCCCTTATTTTCCCTGTGTTATTGTCCCTGCATTATTTTCCCTGTGATATTTTCCCTGTGTTATTTTGTCTGTGCTATTTTCCCTGTGTTATTGTCCCTGTGTTATTTTCCTTGTGTTATTTTGTCCGTGCTATTTTCCCTGTGTTATTGTCCCTGTGTTATTGTCCCTGTGTTATTGTCCCTGTGTTATTTTCCCTGTGTTATTTTCCCTGTGTTATTGTCCCTGTGTTATTGTCCCTGTGTTATTTTTCCTGTGTTATTTTCCCTGTGATATATTCCCTGTGTTATTGTCCCCGTGTTATTTTCCCTGTGTTATTGTCCCTGTGTTATTTTCCCTGTGTTATTTTCCCTGTGATTTTTCCCTGTGTTATTTTCCCTGTGATATATTCCCTGTGTTATTGTCCCTGTGTTATTTTGTCCGTGCTATTTTCCCTGTGTTATTTTCCCTGTGTTATTTTCCCTGTGTTATTGTCCCTGTGATATTTTCCCTGTGTTATTGTCCCTGTGTTATTGTCCCTGTGTTATTTTCCCTGTGATATATTCCCTGTGTTATTGTCCCTGTGTTATTTTCCCTGTGTTATTTTCCCTGTGTTATTGTCCCTGTGTCCCTGTGCTATTTTCCCTGTGTTATTGTCCTGTGTTATTTTTTTATCTGTGTTATTTTCCCTGTGTTATTTTCCCTGTGTTATTTTCCCTGTGTTATTGTCCCTGTGTTATTTTCCCTGTGTTATTTTCCCTGTGTTATTTTCCCTGTGATTTTTCCCTGTGTTATTTTCCCTGTGATATTTTCCCTGTGTTATTGTCCCTGTGTTATTTTCCCTGTGTTATTTTCCCTGTGTTATTTTCCCTGTGTTATTGTCCCTGTGTTATTTTCCCTGTGTTATTTTGTCCGTGCTATTTTCCCTGTGTTATTGTCCCTGTGATATATTCCCTGTGTTATTGTCCCTGTGTTATTTTCCCTGTGTTATTTTCCCTGTGTTATTTTCCCTGTGATATATTCCCTGTGTTATTTTCCCTGTGTTATATTCCCTGTGTTATTGTCCCTGTGTTATTTTGTCCGTGCTATTTTCCCTGTGTTATTTTCCCTGTGTTATTTTCCCTGTGTTATTTTCCCTGTGTTATTGTCCCTGTGTTATTTTCCCTGTGTTATTTTCCCTGTGTTATTGTCCCTGTGTTATTTTCCCTGTGTTATTGTCCCTGTGTTATTTTCCCTGTGTTATTTTCCCTGTGTTATTGTCCCTGTGTTATTTTCCCTGTGTTATTGTCCCTGTGTTATTTTCCCTGTGTTATTTTCCCTGTGTTATTTTGTCCGTGCTATTTTCCCTGTGTTATTTTCCCTGTGTTATTTTCCCTGTGTTATTTTCCCTGTGTTATTTTCCCTGTGTTATTTTCCCTGTGTTATTGTCCCTGTTATTTTCCATATGATATTTTCCCTGTGTTATTTTCTCTGTGTTATTATCTCCCTGTTATTTTGTTCTGCAGACTTTGATGGTGACCACTTTATCAACAAAAATGATCTTGAAAAGACTTTAGTCACAAGACTAGGAGAAAAGCTTTGAGGAGAAAAGGTACATTGTTAACTTGTCAGCAGTCAAATTTATATCTTTAAATTTTCAAAATTAAAAAAAACTTTATGTGAAAATTATATCCCTTATTGAATCAAATCTGAATTATCTCCCCTTACAGGTGTTAGAAGAAACTGACTTGGATGATGATGGCATGCTGTCATACATTGAATTTGAACAAGTCATATCCCGTTCCCCAGATTTCCTCAAGTAAGTTATTTTGTTATCACATATTATGATGCTGGCCATGTACTGCTGATAATTTTTATGATAAGAAATAGAGTATACTAGTTTGTACAATGAAACAGTTTTTCTTCTATGATTTTGTCTCAGTTACCTGTATTGTAGATTTTATGGTTCAGTTTTCTGTAAAAAATTTGTTTCCTTCTTGCTACCAAAGCTGCTTAAAGGGATATGCTTCAGCAAATGGCGGGTTATTAACTTTAATTGTGTAAATGGAATTGCAGAACTTCTAGAGAGAGAGAGAGAGATAAAGCTGACAAACTGTTATTACAAGTCAGGATTTCTTTTTTTTTCCTCTTAGGAAAAAAATGTCCAGTCTTATATTTTTTTCCATGTACATGTGACTTCAAACATAATGTAATGTAGGAACATACTTGGAAGTTTGGTGTTATAATAATTCAATATTTTATAGTTGAGCTCACCTAAGTGAGTTGTCACTTCATCAGTTGTGTAGCTCCTGACCTGCTAACAGTGTAGGAATATTGCAAGTAATTGAATTTCAACTGGATAGAGGCTGATTCTGTGATTTTTTTTTGTCCTTATCCTGTTGGTATTCACAGTGCTAATGAATGCCAACTGAAAGCAGTTTATTGCTTTAAAATGAAAAGATACCTGGTAACCTATCTTTGTGTGTTTGTTAAATGAAATAATCTCTGTATTAGCCATTACTTTATAGTTGTAATGTATTTGTGGACCAACAGACTTTTAGACATAAATATGTTACTCATACATGGATTTTCATTCTTAGGTTTTTTCTTTCTTTTTTTTCAGTACATTCCACATCAGGATATGAAAACTGTATGAAGTTTCCTAAATGATGCCATGCCTTAAAGATCTAAACACATACTAGAATGACAGTGTGTGTATGTCTTTCCAGGAATACGTACATTTGTTTTAAGGATTGCTTGAGATTTAAAGAATAATTGAGGGAGCGCCTAGTTATTCTAGGAATTGTTAGCTAAAAATTCTTGTTATTAGTCGTCAATTTATTCCTTCTTTTTATATATCTCTGCCCTTTCTGCTCTATGTAAGATATTACATAGGTAAATAACTGATGTAAAATTACCCTCTGTGAAGTGTTTTTCTCACTGCTCCAATGTGATACTCCTTGTGAAAAAAAATTATCATTGATGTTTACCTGTTACTGTTAACACCCAGGCATATCTTTTAACACAATTTGGCTGTAAAAGACAGACAATTCAATATATGTATGGTAGTGAAACAACACAAATTATGTTGTGAGTAAATATAGGATCTTGCATAAGTTTCCTCGTTTTTCCAATATTTGTGATGAGTTTCATTAATACCATATGAAATGGAAACAACTGGATCTTTTTTATCACTCATTGAATGTACTGACAAATATGGACATTACCAAGTCAAATTTGAAGTCATTTAGACTCTTTATCTGAAGTCTCCATCATGACGTCATAATGCAATCTGTAAGTGTGTGACATCATTTCATTATCTGAGCATGACGTCACAGTAGCTTACATAATACATGTGTATACAATACACAAAAATATTGCATGGGTAAAAAAATGAATAACAAAGCCACTCTGTGATGAAATAAAGTATATTTTTTTAATGGTACAAGAAGAGACTTAATGGAATTCTGAACAGTTGCAACAAAATATTTTTGTAATCCTTTCAATTTACCTAATTCACCTCCTTTCATAAGGACATGCCTGCAGCCAGATTATCAATGTTAAAGCTGATGTTGTAACTGGTTGCTAAGGTACAAAGGCCACCAGATCTCATAGGACATATGATACATGTAATTATGATATTGTATATTTTTGTGTGCCAATCTACAAATTTTTAATACCCATGTGTTGTTGATTTATAGGGCTGTTCTTAACAGGAGAATATTTATACTATTACTATATATGGCAAAATTTATGCATAAATGTGAACAAATATCATTTCCAGTTCATGTCTCAATTTTTTTGCTCACTTTTATTATCTTTTGTCTTACCAATGACGATAACAATACGCACAAAAAACCCCCTCCTTCCCCCAGCAAAAAAAAATAACTAATTTTTAAATAACAAAAATAATTGTTTCATTTTTCCAACCTGATCAAGCATATGATATGATGTCAAAAGTACAAAATCATATTCATTATCAATAATGATGTTTCTGCTTTGTTTTTGTCCCCAGATCTTGTTTGAATTTATCATTGGTAAGGTGTAACTAAAGATATAGAGTCTCTGTGGTATTATCAAACAGTGTCAGAAAAAAAGTTTTCTTCAGATCTAAAACAGTTGTTTTGGTCAAGTTTGTGTTCAAAATGTACATGTGTTTGAAGTTGTATGTGAAAGACAATTTGTTTACAAAGTGCGATTAATGACTTTATGTTGTTTATTTTTACTTAAAATGCAATATTTGATTTTCATTGTCCTGATTGATACATTTCATGTGTAATCATTTGTCTTTTTTGATCAAATACTCAGTGAAAAAAATAGTTTATTTGTTGATTTATTTTTTGATGAAGAATTGTGTTTATTATTAAAATTTCATTGAAATATTTTATTTGTTGGTATTTTTTTTTTAAATAAAAAGTAACTTATTCTTTGCATCTTTTCAGCAAACATTAATTTTCACATCAATAATTTTGTGTCCAAGTCTCCAAGATGTCAAATGTTTCTTTTAATGTTACTATCAGAAGAATTTATCAACATGCTAAACATAGTTTAATGCTATCAGAAATTAATCAAGATATCGGAAAAGGATGTGTCTATAAAGGCTACATAATGGTTTGACGAGCACTGAAACTCAATGTCACAACACTGCTGTGCAGGAGATTTTCCCTTTTCATGCTTTCCCCGGAAAACATCGTCACGAAATACAATAATGCAACATTCGATACAGGACCACGTGCACTGTAACCTAGATAATTGCTTGGCCGATTTTCTGATTGTTTTTGTAACGTCACCCTGCGTTTCTTTATCCCTTGAGTATGTTTTGTATCTTATCTAGTAAGTAATTTTGTCTCGATGTCATATAAAGTTTTATTTTGCAGTAAGAGGATATAAAAGACGATAAGAATTGCAAACTTTAGCCGTTCACATCATTAAACACAATTAAGTTTTCACAATTTTAATGCTTTAATATAATATATCAAAGTAGCCAAGAAAGACCTACTGTATAACATATATATCAAATATACATTATATTTAGCACACAAATCATTAATTCACTATCAGTGGAAAATCTTGCAGGACCCTCTGACGTGTCATCGTTCTAGTTTCACAAGATAGAGTCAATGGCGTTATTTTTTGCCTCGGCTTAGCTGAGGTGCTTACTTTTGCAAATACGTGTTTTTCGAATAATTGGAAACATTTCGAGATAAACTGAGGTGCATTTAGAAAGGGTAATGTGACTGTGTACAAATTAAAGTTCACATATTTTTACGAACGGATTTGTCAGGATTTATTGCATTATGACCCATTTTTTTAAAAAAAGAAAAGAAACTAGAAATTGTTGGCCAACATTTTGACGGGTTTGTTTTACATATGTATGTACAACATCTTACCTAAAGGTCAATCGTTTCCATAAACGTGATAGCTGACCGTTCAAGCAATTGATATACAACGTATCTAGACTCCAGACTGTGCGATTTCAGATCATTTATTTGGGTTACAAGGAAAAGAACTTTCTAAATGAGACACCCTTCCTAAAACCAAAAGTTGACATTTGACAAAATATTTTCCTACAACAGCAATCGAGAACAATATGCAAATTATCAAACATAATCACATTGTACCTTATATTTACTGAAAAGAAGCCATTTAAAGACTTTAACATAACTGACCCCTGTGACTTTAAGAGCAGGTCAATGTCATTCGTATTTTCATCCCTGATAATTCATGACCAGGACATCATCCGTTTGATATATCAAGGCTCTAGCCAGTGTGGAACGTGAGAAGAAGTTTGTTAAATGTGTTAACCAAAAGAACAGTTTTCAAATACGACCCTTTCCGAAAACCGGAAGTTGAATTTTCAGATAAGGTTTTATTAATACATTCAATAGCAATTTATCACAGTATGCTACAGGAAAATATTCATCACTATCTGCCTCTTGGTGATTGAGAAATTGCTATTTAAATGTTTTGACATTGTTGACATCTGTGACCATAAAATTGGGTCAAGGTAATTTATAATAATAATCTTTATAGGCAATGTCATGAGCATTTTAAATGTACAATATCATGCCTCTACGCCTTGTGGACTTTTAGAGGTTTTTAATGTTTGTTCCAGAAAATTTCGCATTTTAACTTTGACCCCTAACGAAAACCAGAAATCAACATTTTACAAATAAAAAACAAACAAACAAAAAGTTTGACCCAACAGCGAGCTTTCTTGTATGACATATTTTGAATTAACAGGAAATAAGGGGGAAAATAGCCCCGTAGGTTACTTATAAATAATACCGTTTTCGAATTTTGGTAATTTAAAAAATTTGTCCTCTGACGTCATAGCAGCCATATTGGATTTTTTACCTCCTTTAAAAATGTTGTTTGAACGTCTTCAGACCAGGTCGTATAAAGCAGACTATAGACAATAATCCGATTTGCTACTGTTTAGGAGATTTGGCACCCACAAACTTGTCCTAGAAGAACAAGAGGCCCTGGGGTCTGGCTCCACCCTTGAGACTTAACTTCTGCGTTATATCTGTAAAGCTGTTGAAACCCCCACCCCATAACTATATATACTAAACAAAAAAAGAAAGGTAACACTACTTTATTCTGTGATTAATTAATTAACCCCTTCATAAATCCTTACCAATCATGTACTAATAAAGTCATGGTTCATTATAAAACTTTGCGTTCAGTTGATTTTATTCGACTGTAAAGGACTTTGGGGTCAATTTCAAAGGTAACAACATTAGTAACGGGTATGGCCACCGTTTGCGAAGTAAACAGCATTGCAGCGTCGTCGCATGGAACTCGTGAACCGGCGGATAATTCAAGGAGAGATGTTGTTCCATTCAGCGATCAAGGCTTCGGCCAGCTCCTGCAAGTTTGACGGCTGATTTTGACGTTCTCTCACGCGTCGCCCAAGAACGTCCCAGACATGCTCAATCGGTGACAAATCAGGTGATTTAGATGGCCAATCTAACACCTGTACGTTATTCTGCTGCAAGAAAGTTCTGTCTACGCGACTGGTGTGCGCTGGTGCGTTATCCTGTTGAAAAATGGCGCCAACGCCATGGCGTCTTAAGAATGGCAGAACCACTGGTCTTAAAATTTCGTCCAGATATCGAATGCCGGTTAAACTGCCATTTAACACAACAAGCCTGGTACGAGTCCCCCCACAAATACCACCCCAAACCATTACACTTCCGCCGCCAAAGCGGTCCCGTTCTGCGACGCAGCAGTTCGCAAAACGCTCCCCTTGTCGCCTCCACACTCTGCGCCTTCCGTCACCGTGTTGCAGACAAAACCTGGACTCATCTGAAAAACAGAATATTGTTCCATTGTCGTTTGGCCCAACGACGGTGAACACGGGTCCAGTTACGCCGATTATTACGGTGACGTAGCAACAAATTGGGTCCAGTGTAGGGACGCCGCGCTTTCAATTGGTAGGCCCTCAACCTGTTGCGGACTGTTTGGGGAGACACACGACGCCCAAACAATGTCCTTGAAGTCTCTACTGCGGTTACGAATCGATTGCGCAAGTGTATCAATCGTATACGACGGTCATCCCTGGCGGTCGTTTTACGGGGTCGGCCGCTTCGTGGACGATCGGATGTTGACCCAGTTTGGTTTAAACGACTTACCAACTGGCAAATTGTCTTAACACTGCAACCAAAATGATTTTGGCCTACAGCCCTTTCTCTCTGTATTTTGTAATGTAAAACATTACCATTTTCAGTTTGAATGTTTATGAAATTCAAGCGAAGATACAATATTGCACAAACGTCATTTTGTTTTCACTCATTTACAGGTATTCGCCAAGAAAACATGTTAACCTTTCTTTTTTTGTTGAGTATAAACACAGTCATGATGTAAGAATTGACCCTGGGGTCTGTCCACACTCCTAGGGACTCAGTTTCTTTGTAATATCTTTGAAACAGTTGAGGTCCCCATCCCTCCATTATATATAGAATTGCTTGGCATCAAGAGATAAACACATTTGTTATGTAAGAATTGATCCTTGGGTGTGGCACACCTCAAGGGACGTTATTCATTGGTCACAATTTTGACATAGTTGAGATACCAACATAATAACCATATAAAATCTTACTGGGCATCAAAAGAAAAAGATAGCAAAGATATAAAAATTAATTCATTGGTCTTGCCCTGCCAAAGAGGTAGAGTGACTGAGCTGTCATTTTCGAAATATTTTAAATAACCAATCTATAAGAATGTATACCATTGCTGGACTTTAGGATCCAGGTGAGCGATTTAGGCCCTATACGGGTTATTTTTATCTACAATTATGTATGAATTATTGATCAAGTGTCATACACAATTGTATGATGTTAGTCGCGTAGAGCAACGATTTGACACGAATTCCCGACCCACGGTCCATAGATTCTCAGATTCGTATGGGACATACTACTATTCAACCAGAAGCAAATATTATAGATATTTGACATCAAGGTGATGACGTATGTTATGCAAATATAAAACGGTGTCATTTCTAGGTTATCTTGTCGACCTTTATCTAATAATTCGTGGCTTTCAGCAGGAGACAAGACATCGTTTCACAAAGGACGGAGAGGGGTCAAACCTGTACACTTCACTAGATGTCGAAGGAAGTTCTCAGAAGTGGTTGAATATTAATTTTGTGAGAATAAAACGAGATTTTAATGGTTTTACAACAGAGAAATGCTGATATATAATTTAGCTTATAATCAGATCTTAACTTCTCGCACTGCTGTGTATGACGTTGTGTGGCAGACGGAATTATCCTAGTGAGGTCAGCTGATGCGGAATGGAAAAAAACGACAACTTCAATGTTATAATAGAGCTTTGATGTAAGAGAAGTGAGTCTGGTTCAGACGCTACGTTAAGAATGGCTGACATTTAAACGTGTACCAATTTGCCTGTATGTCATACCACCTTGAGTCATTTCAGTTTTTGTGTATTTTTGAAACAGTGTGATGAGCACGTATATGATTTACACGCGAGAACGTATCTTTAGGTGTTAAGGCAAATCTGTGTTTTGTTAGGGCACGGGGTACCCCATCTTCCTTAAATTTGTCTATCTTGTACATGATAATGACAGAATATTTACACTAACTAAATACATCGTACAAGATCATGCTTTATACATGATGATACAATGTCTTTGTATTTCATATTACTTATGTATCAGTTACATGCGTTTTGTTTGGGTACGGGGTACCCGGTTTAATCCGGGTTATCGTTAGTTGGGCGTATCGTTTGATGGCATATGACACAAAACACAAAAGGAAACACAGTAAGGAGTACGACAAAATGTGTTTTTACAAAAGGAAGTATCAGTTTGATTAAAATTCTCAAACTGAAATTGATGGACTCTATCTTATGGTAAAATTTTAGGAATTCCAAAATAGAACACGTCATACACTTGACAACCTCCAACTGTTTTTTGCTGACGGCATCATGTACAGATACCTCTGATTAGAACATGTAATTGACTGTATTTTGGCATGGCTGATCTGGGTCATTGTTTTTATTATGTTGACAGTTTCAGTGTACGAAGCAAGCATGTGTATGTATCTATAATTTACAAAAAACGTACAAGTGAAAACGATCTTTCGAGCTACAAATTTAGAATTTGATTCGGTATATCCAAATTATGAATTAAACTGCATCAACATGTATATTATTCATTTTTTTCAATGGTCACAGGTGCATTTATTTGAATAATGAATGTTAAATAATAAATGTTATCTAATTAATAAATATATTATTTTGTTTTATTCACTACTTACTAATTGATTTGATAATACTGGATTAATTAGAATTAACTAGTTAGCCTAATTGTTCTCAGTAATTAGGTAATTAGTAATTAGTTCATAATTGTTTATACTCTATTATTTGTTTGTAATGGTGTAGACAATTGTCACTGTGTTGCGTAATGTGGAAAGTACCTGTCTAATGATTGCGGTTGCACGTGTTGTGTCATGTGCCACGTCAGTATAAGGTGACTGTCTTGTACTTGTCCTGTGTTATCAGGGTTGTTTACGTCTTACATGTAAATTAGGGTGAGAGTTGTAAGAAAAGTGTGCAAGGAGTGTGAGTGAGACCGATGAAACTTAAAGAATATAGCGCGAACCCCGCAGTTGGCCATTTACCATTGTGACTAATGTATCCTAAAGGAGTCCTGTCAACATGACAGATTTGACTATGACTTTACCAAACTTCAACAGGTCTTGGAAGGTAACTATTACCGTTATCAAATATAGTCATTTACTTAAACTTTCGAAGTTTAAGTATCAATGTTATCAAGTTTTTCTGGTATAAATAAGGCCAATATGTTCTTTCATGGAATTTCCTCTGTATGGAACCACCGACCCAAAAATAAATAAATTAGAATGTAGAATGTAGTTTGTTCCTTTATTTGTACTGTGACACAATGATTTATGATTTTCCGTATGGGTAAATCAATTTTATCTCGATTTGGTAAAGTCCAAACCTTTTGGTTTATCGTTTGTATTGCATCCCATTGTTTTAAGACTTGTCCACTGTGTCTGAATCGTATGGTAACTGAGATGTTTCCTGGATTGAACATCAAGCATCAGTGGTTGCCATAGGAAGAGGAAGTGACGTTACAGTAATGGTCCCAATCCGAGGAGTATAGCACACGGATAATACTTTTTCCTAACCCACACTTAAAAAAATGGAAATCCGGAAAAATCCAAGTAAGGTCTTTGACCCACACCTGCGGTATGGTGACAGCCACTGAGGATTAATGTATATCTTATTCACAAGTCTTATTTTGTAAAAATTGATATGGTTTTCATGTATTTCTTTTCATCCCGGATGACGTCATTTTCTTTATTTTGTATATACATTCTTCATAGTTGTACTTTATAAAACAATATTTTTTTTTACTTTCAATACTAAAACAGCATCTTTCTTACTTGTGTGCGATTCAACTATTCCACGTTTTTTTCCATTTTTAGATGGCAGGGCAGCTGACATGGATACCAAGACTGTGTTATTGCATCTTCAAAGTGTTGATACTGACATTTGTACTGGTAGTTGCAAAATTCATTCCCATTGTGAGAACTCGATTGACTCGGTATATTGGCGATGTTTTATATGACACACCTTTAAAAGAAGAAGATTACAAAGACTCTGTATATAACTTCCGTTTTCTCAAAACGATTTGGCGGGCAGATTATCTAGATTGCTTCAAACAAGCTTCATTAGGAGGAAATGCGCCAAATCCCGAGGTCATCGACTTGCGTTCCAGTCAGGTTTTGAGACTGTTAGACTTCCAAACTCAAGGTCGGCCTCTTGTTCTCAATTTCGGCAGTTGCACTTGACCGCCGTTTATAGCGAAGCTGGAGAGATTTAATTCCTTAATCACTAGCTTCGGTTCTTTCGCAGACTTTATAATTGTATATATTGAAGAAGCACACCCATCCGACGGCTGGTTTTTCAACAATAACATTTCAATTGAAAAACACCGGAAAACTGAAGACAGGATTGATGCTGCCAAAAAGTTGGAGTCCTTTGGTACACGTTGTCCTGTTCTTGTTGATCCGATGTCGGATGCTGCTAACCGACTGTATGGAGGGTTGTTCGAGAGACTTTATGTAATCAAAGATGGCGTCGTGGTATATGAAGGAGAACGTGGACCACAAGGATATAATATAGAAGAACTGGCCGAATGGCTTCAGATATACGAAAAAGAAATGTAAAACTGAAACATTGAGAAATAGGTAAAATAACTATATGGTGCATATTGTGTTACCATCATGAGATATCTAAGAAATGATACGTTATTATCTGGATGTGTCTGAATGTTTCAATACATCTGGATATGTCTAATGTTTCAATACATCTGGATATGTCTAATGTTTCAATACATCTGGACGTGCCTGAATGTTTCAATACATCTGGATATGTCTGATGTTTCAATACATCTGGACGTGCCTGAATGTTTCAATACATCTGAATATGTCTGACTTTGTGGAAACGATGCTCGTTGTGCTTCCCGTTAGATAAAAAAACGTATCAAACAGCGGCTATACGCTGCTTTTCGTTTAAAGCCAAATAATATTCTGTATTTTACATGTTTTTCTTCCCGGCTGTACCGCTTATGTGTTAAATTTCGTATTTTACAGTTTCCGTGTTGTAAATCATATTTTAATACTTCCGTGTTGTGGTTTATGTTCACATACTAACCAACTGTATGGTCGACTGGAATTCTGTACCATCTTCTTATGTCAAATAATATATTTTCGTGCTTTTTAGCATAATGATATTTCATGGACACTAGATAAACATAGCTCAATAAATATATTTATACTAATTCGTAACAGTTCGTGGACATATAAATTCATGGATTTAGAGTGCTAACGAAATCAACGCAAATAAACCTCCCACGAAAATTAATGTTTTTACAAAATTATATTTATATTGTTCCAGCTTTAATTATGATAATAAATTATGTAACATATCAATGACGATATTTTCCGAAAAATACATTGGAAAATACCCGATGATACATGGAACATAATATTCTGTGGTAATTATACCAACCATAATGAATTGATATGAATATGAAAATTTGTATTATACAATATACTTTACCTACGAATAAATGTACGATGATTGAATTTGACTCAATGCATTACAATTTGTTTTGGCCGATGTGGAACGCTGCATTAAGAAATCTGTCATCAGATAGGGAAAAAACGATTTCTGCCAAGCGTGACCAGTCACCAAGTGCCCTTCAGATAAAATTAACCAACGAAAAAAGAAAAATGACGTCAAATAAAAGTTAATGCATTAAATGATAGTTTTCACATTCTCTCTTATAAATTTACTCAAAATTTTAATGGCGGTCCTAACCCGCTCATCATCAAAGTAACAAACAATAAATATATATAGAGTATTAAAGAAACAATTTGAAACATGAAGTGTATGTGCTAATTAAAGTATTCACATAATAAGAAACAAAAAAAATCTAAATGTGTGAACTCCAGAAAATATCCACACATAAAATAGTTTCCGTTCACAAAAGATTTATGGATAGAATCTAAAAAATTATTTTGCCAAGCCTCATAAATCTCATTGGAAACGTGAATGCAAGATTCTGTTTATCACTTTTACAAATATTCGTTCTATCGTGACGTCTTACTGCATATGGAGTCATGAACATTCAACCAATAAAAACACGGTTAGGTCATATTCTACAATTGTGGTCATAGCCAAAATATAATAACTGTAATTTCGCGATTAAGTATTCCTTCAAATGTCGGACAGAATGTATAGTACTTATACAGCCAAAGCATTTGATCAGATTGATATATGGTTTTACAGACAACAAAAAAGATCTACCGAGGACAAAGTTTTACGCATAAACTCAAATGAAAATCATCACATACGTTTTAACATATATTTATTTGTCAGGAATGATTTTCCGAATACGCTGAACCAGTATTGGCTACCACAGGATAAACCACTGAAAATCTACACAAATGACGTACAATGAAATGCAAACGTACAAGAGAACAGCTTTTGCACTCAACTCTTGGTCAGATTGTGGAAACAAGTCCTCGATCTAGTTTTCTAAAATGGCTACCATCAGATTTACAAAACGAAAGTGTACTATTAACTTTCTTGTTACACATCATTCACTACAAACTTGAATAACATTTTAAATAAAGATGTGTATTGTTCTGATTCTAATGGCGGGCCGATTTGTGTACAGTGTTACTGTCACCTTCACTTCACTATCGGCAATAATTATACAGTACAACGATGTTCGCACGAGAGGCATGTCGAGAGGTCAGTTAAATTGTTCAAGGACATTAAGGCTATTTTTCCATCTAATTAATGATTTTAGTATCTATAATTACCAATTAATTATTTAACAATAGTTATATCGAAGCGCTGGGATGTCCTCCCTTCTGTTTCTCCCAATGAGCTATAACAGATATGGATTGTTCATGACACAGACTCGTCAGTGCCATCCAGCGTTGTTTTCGTACAAATAAACGCGATTGACAAATTCTACAGATATACAGTTGTAAACGAATCATCGTACCTTTAACAGCTGATATCACATAACCATACATCGCTGTATGTGTTTGAAGGATGATTGAGGTGTATATATCTTTAAGATAGCAGATGGTAGACACTGCTGTTGGACTTGGAAGTCCTCGAGGTTTGCCGTAACCTGCTTGCCACCTTTAAATTCACTCGAATAGTGGCACGGAAAATACACATGTACTTGACGCTATTGTAAAATTATCTGATTTATGAAAATTACGAAAGTTTTCTAATTAAGGGACTGCTGCACCTCCCCGTCTTTATTTTGAGTCTTCTTTCGATCACTTTGGATTTTCCTCAGTCGCCCACAAGGCATCAATAATTTATACTCTTAACATCACCGACGAGTCCTAGCAGGACGAAACAGCTGTATGATGCTTTTTAATCCATTGTTTGGCTCTACTATATCTCACTCTAAATTATGAATACGTGCTATCCCATTGTGTGTCTTTTGCACAATCTCATAGGGTATTCAATATCAAAACGTATGCAAACGTTCATTGGGTAAAATCTAAATGTCAGATTGTCACAACGTGTTTGGCCTCTTGGCATTGGCTGAATTGTCATGATTTTCCTATCTGGTCTTTACACATGCGCAGTGAGTAAAGCTTGTATTTATGATTTCATTCATGTATCTGCAACAGGGAAGGTAATCATACGAAAGGCATTCAAGTAATCAGCACCTTTCAACTCAAATTTAGAGTTAGATACAACACACGTATGGACAGATAATGAATTAAACTATATGTTACAGCTACTTTGTTCTTCTAGTCTCGTCAGACATGCTAGGACATAAAAGTGTTCAAATCCAGAAAATTAAAATCGATCTAAAATATGTTGTATATACATGTTATCCACGTGCATAGACGCGGTCATAATCGATTTAAAGCAATAAAGAAAAATCAGCTGATGAAAAATCTAAGAGGGACATGAGGAAAAGAAAGTTTTGAAGCTGAAAAGCTCAGACTAAGTGTAGATTCTTTTCCGAACTGCATTCTGGCCCTCGATTGTCATTGCAAGAGGTTGCAACACAATTGTAGCACAAATCCTCCGTTAGATATCATGGTCAAACGTACGAATCATGTAGTTGTGGAACCCTGTGAAAAAAAGTTTCAAAAACTTGATCGACACTACCACTACTATAAAATCTGACAAATGTAAAGACATATGAGCGCGTATTGTTCTTCGTGGATACTTCACAAGCAACTGAAGGTAAGACTCCGCTTATAGAATGCGCCTTGAATCGATTATCAACACTAGAACTGTGAAGGACGGGTCGGGCACATCGAACAACAGTGGAGATTGATATCGCTCCAGAAGTTTAAAAGATTCCATATTCTTCCTTCTGTCCTTGGTAACCTCAAACTAAAGTTCCAACGTAGACAAAACACATAGTCTAACACCAGAAAAATCTATACGGTCTAAGTGTTTGACCTGCATGTCCAGGTGGAGCCACGACAGCCCAGTCGATAGTGCGTCGGCCTAGGTTACCACAGGTAAAGATTCGAGGTACATGGTGCGACGCGCCCTACCCATGGCGGTTTGTGTTTAGCAGGAAGCTGATAAACGGACCAGCCTAGGCAGACGTGGTTTGTTCTTGAGCAAAACACTTTACCAGAATTGCTCTGAATGGCATGCTATTGGCCTCCTCCCGTATATTGTTCTGTTACCGGCTACTAAAAGGAAACTCTGCCTCAAAATGATCACGGTTGTTCACGAGGCGATACATCCAGCCAGCCAGCGAAAAAACACATATGTAGAGACATGATCAGATCGATGCGTATGTGGTATCGGGACCTAAAGTCTATACTCTCTTGGCCGTCGTCAGGAGTAACAATGCCACTAGATCCGACAAAATGGAAGTCTGTTCTGAAAATCAGAGTATGTAACCTTACTTCTAACTTGAACTAGGTTGATGATACAGACTACATAAGATTTATATAACAAGATGAGACAGGTAGAAGGATTCTCTTAAATTAGAAAAATTATAAAAAATATTACACAGACCAGTATTTCAGTTTAAGTTTCACCATCAATTGTAATAGACATTGGATGTGGTAGATATTCTCCTGGACAGATGCAATGACAACGTTTCTGAGCAGGAAGGCATGAACAAGACGATATCTCGTTATATGTGGTTATTATTTTGGTCTAGGAAAAACGGAAATGAAGAGCAAGACAGGAAATAAAAAGGCAAGAAAAGGGAGAGCAACAACATAGAGGAAATAAGCATACAACATGGTCACCATACCTTCATCAAAGGTGTGTCGGGGGCAGTTTCGGGGGGTTGTGAAAACATCACCTCATCACCTCCACGCGGCTGCGTTACATACCAAACAACTGCAAAAGCCGCCCCAATGATTTGCAGCAACAGATGACAAAACGGGCGTGGTTTGACAAAGCCGCAATCTCTGTTAGGAAGTTTTGGAACACGTCTCGAAGGACATCAGAAAGACGTAGTTAGAACGGAAAACGGAGCACACACAAGACACCCCAAGAAGATACCAGAAAACAAAGTAATAAATCAACTACCACTTGAAAGAGAGGATAACTGGACAGTGACAAAGAACCCATCTGCATGGATAAGAATATATAAGGTAAACTAATGAAAACAGACAAAAGCGGTTACCAGCTGAGTCAT